TTACTTTCCATTTTTTTATTCTTAGTTCTTTGTTGTTTTATGTGTTTATATGGTATACCTGACATATAAATAGTAGGGCTTTATCTCTAGTTTGTATGGCGGCCGTTATTTACCTTAGGTGGCCCTGGGGACTATCAGAGTATCTCTTTGTTTCTCTCTGCCGGTGGTTCGTTTTTTACTTGGCCCTCTGGCCCCGCCGCGCGTACACTTCACAGACAAATGGATCCCACCCACAAATTTCTTAACACTAATTTATATCTAATCCAGACACAGACATTTGGTACCTAGCTGAATCACATGGCGGAAACAAAAAGCGCCCTATTTGAACCATAGAAAGTTTATGAAATCAAAAATTCTTTAATTAATCTATTATTGTGTATAGCATATATACACATAAAACAAAAAAGATAATATAAAAAATGGAAATAACCATACAGCTAAATATGTTCACAGCTAATAAGATGAAATGGGTCCTGTTCTTCAATTGGGAAATTTTGCACCCACTTCCACAACTTCTATGCAGTGGATATGTCAGGAGTAAACATGTTGTTATCTGCAGCCCATCAAATCAAGAACTGAAAGTTAAATCAATGTTAAGCAACTGTAGTATTTATAATATGTTCATCCCATTCTGTTTGGCAGCTTTGCCTTTTTTATGGTTAACATCCAGTTTTTCATAAGGGATATGAAATTTTCTATTAGAATCATAGCTGAAAAGGTGATCGTAAACTTACAGATTCTGTAAGCAGATCAAATCTTATATGTTTTGTATTTCCATCAAGGATCTTGCTCTTTTTTTTTAAAAAAAAAAAAAAAAAAAATAACACAGAGAAGCTAAGTTATTCTACTATAGAGCAATGTTACAATTAAACTTTAAACCCCAAAGGATAGATATTAAAAAACAGGAGGTGTAGCGTTAGGGGTTTGATTATCCGATTAACGGACGGTTATTGACTTTCTTCTCTAACAGGGACTAAACTTTTCTGAAATGTCTCTATATAAAAAGAGTCTGGTTGGACCAATTAATGAAAAAATTTATTATAAGCTTTGGGTTTTGAACCATAACTGTTGCTGATTGTTCTGATTTCTCGCTCTCATTCTAAGAGATAGTTATCTTTATCCACTGATTCAGTTGGGCTAAATATTCGTATCTCATTAATCTTGGTGGGCTACTGGATTGATTACTAAGCTATGATTGGGAGCTGACCTCGAATCCAGCCCTAATCGGTCTTTTTAGATAAAGTGCTCTCCTCATCTCTCTCTCTTCTACTCTCTCTCTTCTGGTCGTTTGTTCTCAAATGATTGTCGGTGAAGCTTTTCATGTGGAGGGAAGTGCCTTTTGTCGTCATGATTGTCTCCACCTATTACTGGTTTTCTGTTGATTAATTTTAGTTTTAAGGAACTGAATTAATTTCTCGCAGAATTATAGCGTTTATTTCCTTTTTTTTATTTTGAAGTCATTATATTAGTATGAAATTAATTTCTACATATTCCTAATCTGGTTCTAGTAAAGGTGGCCACGGGTTCGGTTCTAGAAAAGATGGGAATCGACCAAACGAACAATTGGTTCCGGTTCCGGTTCCGGTAGGTTGATTTAAACCGTGGTTGCGATCGGTGTTCCCAACACTGATTTTTCGGCAAAGATCGATAATTTTAAATTTTAGAATTTTGAAGTACCAAGTTTTAAAATTTTAGATAAATTTGTGAAAGTTAGTTTGTAAAAAATCTCACCTAAAAGTTAAAAGCTGCTTCGAATTAAAGTTTATTTTTAGACGTGGGTGGGAAAGATAAATAGTGCAGGAGCGATGTGAGGAGTGTGAGTATTGATAGGTTGTATAGAATAGATAATAGAATATCGTGATAGATGTATAGGATATGATATGTATATAGTGAGTATATGAGAGAATCGGTTTAGAATTTTCATATTGAGAGTCGCGCAGGACAGAGTGAGAGTGTGTAGTCAGGGTTAGAAGGATAGCTAGAGTCGAATATGGGAAGGCTGAGGTGAGAGAGTTGTAGGGAACGCCGGGGGGTTGAGGTTGGGTGTAAGGCGAAGCGGAGCTGTCTGATCTATCGTTAGTCGAGCAGCATAGATATAGAGTAGGGTGGGGGCGGAATGAAAGACAAAAGAGGGAGAGGAGAGACTGTGGTAGAAACTGCTAACTAGTACGAGGTGACTGATGGTGAGCCTAGCATTATGTGGATGAGCTACAGAGGCTAGACGCGGATCGAGTAAGGAGCTACCGCGCTGGCTAGAGCTGACGATGATGAGTATGTAGGAGGAGGATAAAGGCTGCAACCCGGATGAAGCATGAGAAGCAACATGTTATGAGCGAATGAGCTGAAGAGGAGTCTTAGAGCTGAATTCATCTTTGGGTGTGGTTACAACACTCAGCGTGATTCCAAGAGACTGGAAGGGAGAGAGATAAGACGAGAGTAGTGGAGGTAAGGGATCCAGAAGGAGAGTATATGACGTTGGAAGATAGAATGAGCCAGTTCGATGGCGCAGGTAGATTAATGCTGCTGTGTAGAGTGAGTAAGTTGTGTAGTGGTCAGTAGTGAGAATCGATGATGTAAATGTGAGGATGCGCTACTAGGAGACTGACGCATGAGATGTGGAGGTAGTGTGCACGTGTCGCAGCTATTCGGTCGTGTGGTGTGGGCTACCAGAGAGTGGGGATGATTATTAAGACTAATAATGGCTGCGCTGCGTGTCTGGGTCTCTGCGTGAGAGCGTTCAGGATAGACTCGAATGTAGTGTCTGTTGGTCAAGATGTGCGAGTGAGCGTGTGATAGTATGCGTCGTCGCGCCGTAGCTGATAGACGGCAGAGTTGCTGCAGCTTGATGTGTAGGTGTTGCTTGATAGAAGTAGTCGCGTTCAAGAGGCGATGACGGGATATGCGAGTGGTTGTTAAGTGTGAGTAGACGAGAGTGTGTGTACAGGCGGATGCATGTCGAGGACGCGGGATGAGCGAGTGTGATGAGAGCTCGGCTTGTAGAAGGATTGTGGGCGCTGTGCAGGTCGAGTATGGATGATGATTGGCAGTGTTGTTTAGTAGATAGGCTAAGGCCGGATTGGTGTGATGTATATCGTATGAGAGGAGCGCACACCACACACACCATGGGTTATTGTGAGTGATTGTTAGTGAAGTGTACTTATAAGGTAGGTGAGGGTATTGAGTGCTCGAGGGTCATCGGAGGCGAGGGGGATGCAGGTAGGAGTTGGGAGCAGGCGCTGTTTAAGAGTTGCCGTCTGCAGAGAGGAGCTCCGTAGTGAAATAGAGAGCGTTTTCTAAAGTGGAATTGAACGACAAGAATAACGTCTACCGGGGAATAGTAGAATTAGAAGTTGATCGAGTTTTGAGGTATGGAAGACTCGAGTGCTTGATGAGAGGAGGGTGTTGTATGAGGGAGCAGCGTGAGCTCTAGATCAGAATGTGTAGGATGAGAGATATGGCCATCGGAGCGGGTAAGGGCAGTTTACAGGGACTCGTATGGCATGTATAAGATGTGTTGTAAATGAGTGAAAATTGGATGCGGATTCTGTTATATGAAGTAGGTACTATTATTTGTACGTGGAGAGTTGGGGATCTGAGTTACGAGAGTTGGAGGAAGAGTGTGATGGGCAACAAGATCCGATTGGAGACTACTTTAACTGAACTATTTAACAGTTCCGTCTGAGCAATGTGGCAGCGTAGAAGCATATCGTGGACCATGCCCTGATCTAAGCATTTCACCCAAGTGTCTGGAAACAAGGTGGTCCTTGCAGGACATGACTCTTGAGAGTGATGCATGTACGGGAGACGTAATTTAATGTGTTGTACGGAGGGAAAAGTCGTAAGGATCGGGAAATGCTTTGGTTGAAGTTATTTTTAGAAGTGTGAAGAGGAGTGGTGCTGATGGGGCCTGTGAGATCTGCGTACTAGTGTTGGCTTGAGTGAATTGGTAAAGAAGAGAATTAGTAGCGGAGTGATTAGTGGTCCTCAGTTCTCTGTTGCCGGTTAAGAGTGTAAAAGATATGTGCAATTTGATATTATTAAAGAAGAGCAAAATGAGCTGCAAATTAAAAGAGAAGGATGAGAGAAAGAGAATGGAGGAATGGTTATAGTATTTAAATGTTTAGGGTGGATAAAAAAAAAGGAAATCTTGGAGGAAATCAAAATATAAGATTTGATCTTTATAAGAATTGTAGTTTCGTCCACTTTTAGGTGATGTGAAATTTCATATCCCTTGAAAACTGATGTACCATAAAAGGCAAAGATGCCAAACAGAAATGGGATGAACATATTATAATTACAGTTGCTTAATTGTTTAACTTTAGTTTTGATTTGATGGGACTGAGATAAAATGTTACGTTGATATCACTGATTAGGTTGTGAAGGTGGGGGTGTGCAAAATTTCCAATTGAAAAAGACCCATTTCGATTCTTATTTAGCTGTGAACATATTTAGCTGTATGGGTTATTTCCATTTTTTTATTATTATTTTTTTGTTTTATGTGTATATATGTATAACAATAAATAGATTAAGTAAAGAAAATTCATGATTTCAACTCTTCTATGGTCAAATAGGGCGCTTTTGCCCAATATCATACACCAAATTCTGTCGATAATAAAATTAGTAGAATTTTGGTCCATTTTCTTTTATTTTTTACTCTTCTTCGTGTCCCATTCATTTGGTCCACACGGGGAGAGAGAGAGTCATAACGTACCCACTAAAGTTTGTTATTTTTACATAAAATTTGATATTTTTATTATTAAGATTAATAATTTTTAAGAGTATTTTTAGGTCTTATTTGATTCACTTATAAGTCGATAAATAGACATATTCTTTTGTTAATTTAACGAAGTGCAAAACATTATTAATCATTTTGTGCATTTCTATTTTTTCTTCCCAAAAATTTCAACAAAAATGCCTGAAATAAATAATGAAGAAAATAATTTCGTATCCTGAAAAGCTTCCATAGTCAAATATGGAGCTTTTGTCCAACATCAGACACAAAATTCAAAGTTAGTAGAGTTGTTGAGCATGCTTATACCTTGACTATACCTTAGAGTTCGATCCATTTTCTTTAGAGTTCAGGTCCACACGGAGAAATCAATCAAAGCTGTGTTTCCACACTTATAAAAAAGTTATAATGCAATGACTTATATTTTTCTGCTTTGTTTTTGTTTTTATACTAATCTTTTTACTTTTTTTATTATATGAGGAAGGTTCGTTTTGTGGTTCTTCTGCAAGATATAACCACTTAGGTTTGCTGGTTTGTTTTTTCTTTTTATACTAGTCTTAGATCTAAGAGTGAGGAAAGAGAGCTGCTTCTGGTTTTGTGGTTCTCCTCCGAGATGATCAGAAACAGAGCGAGTAGTCGCAGGCCTGAATCCGTGTCCATACATGTTGAAAATGAAAATGAGTATGAACTTGGCAGTAATTTCAATCGGAAGGTAAATTAAATACGTATACATTTTATCAGTTATATATATTTGTGTGCGCGCGTGTGTGTTTCTTTCAGCAACTACTATATATGTATATTGGCATTTTCCAACAGGCTATTACCCTGAAGCGACTTTTTCTCTTCGTCAACTTCATCCTCAAGCTTGTAACTGTTTTTTTTGGTCAGCTATCTTCCCCGGAACACCCTGTGTATGGATTGCTTAATATGGTAATTTCTTACATAACCTTCATCATTTCAATCATTTTGCTTGTTTGCAAGCGTCGACAAGGGCGAGTTGAATTGAGATGGAGGTGTTTACTAAGAAAACCTGATATTGAATTCATTTGTGATATAGTTGAATGTGTTATTACGTCAATAGCATATTTTATTTTTTTGTCTAGACATGTCGATGATCCTATCAGGATAAATTTGTGGCCTACTCTTTTTGCCTGTGTTCGATTGTATTCAGCAACAGCCAATCCTTCCCAAAGACAGCCAAGTGACTCACCAGAAATAAGGCAGCCCATCCCACAGAATACTGAGTCAATCCTACTAGAACCACCGAGTAATGAGTCAATCCCACCACCACCACTGAGTACTGTGTCAATCCAACCACCACAGAATACCCAGTCAACCGCACTTTCAACCCAGTCTGTCCCACAGAATAGGGGGACAACCTTTACTGTGGCCGAGCTAAAAGCTGCCACCAATGACTTCTCACCAAATAACAAGATTGGTGAAGGAAGCGTTGGTGTTGTTTATAGGGGCAAATTAGATGGTCGTGAAGTTGCAATTAAAAGAGGGAACATTGGGGGGGCAAATAGTAGCTGGTTTCAAGAGGACGAGAATGGAAATAGTAGCTGGTTTCAAGAGGACGAAAATGGATTTATATCTAAATTAGCGGTTTTGTCAAGAATTTGCCATGAGAATTTGGTTGGGCTTGTTGAAGAGGACTAAAGACTGGAGTTTATATCTCAAATTAGCGGTTGTGTCATAGAATTGCAATGGAATTTGGTGGCTTGTTGATATTGTGTGAGGAACAGCAGCGGAGAGACTTTTTAGTTTATGAGGTTGATGAATAAATCAGCAGTTTGGTCCTTACATTACATGAACAACATAGTAGTAGTTGAGTTAATATTTGGAAAATACGATAAAGATTGCATAGATAGTTGTAGAGGAATCGGTATCTTCACAAATAAATGGCAGAAGCATCCGATAATTCACGGGAATTGCTCAGATCTTCTAATGATTGTAGTTGCTCGAATTATAAATCTGAAAGCTAAGAGTTTTTGGAGTTTTCGGAGTGTCATTGATGTATTTCCTGATCTCAATATCCTCATGAGTTTTATTTGGTTAGTGGAATTCAGATTGTACTAACCACAGACACGGATGTCTATAGGTTTGGTGTGGTATTATAGAAAGTACTGACCGGGAAAGGAGAGCTATGTTATTATGATTATTTTGGTAAACGGAGGAAAGTCTAAGAGAATTGTGTGTAGTTTTAGAACAATATTATTAGTTCATATAAGCGTTTGTAGAATGCTAGGGTTGCCCGGCAAGGAGCTGATGGTAGCAGTCCGCACTTTATTGTGTATTTTATAAACAATATTATTAAGTTCCATAACGTTTTAGATGCTAGGGTTGCCCGGCAAGAGCTTGATGGTACAGTCGCACTTAATGATGAGGCTTGGGATAAGGTTTTGCATGAGGTTTTAGATCGTAGGGTTGGCCGGCCAGTGCTTGATGACAAAGACGCCGTGAAGTTGGTGTTCAAGACTGCACTTCGATGTGTGACTTCCAAAGGGAGAGATATGCCAACTATGACTGACATTGTTGCTAATTGGGATCGAGCTCTCTCAAATTATATTTCTATGCCAAGATTTCCAGAGATTATTCATTGAAGGTCACAAATATAAATTTCATTGAATGAAGAAACAGATTGTAGTTGATAAGGAGGTTGTTTCAACTTAATGTATTTCTCTTCTTAAACAATGTCAAGACATTTCCGTTGCAGTTTCCTATAAAATTTAGCTTTCGAAATCGACTTCACAAGGATTTGCAAGTAAAGTGTTTGATAAAATGCTTCAAAGAAACAAACTATTTAAAGTTAATTTTTTTTAAGTAATTTTATTGACTTACCAGTAAATCTTTTGATAAAATGCATGCCTGAACAAAATAATAAAGACATTAGTTGCATCACATAAATAATTTTCTAGCCCTTGGAGCTTCAAGAAGCTATTATGGTAGCTTTCTTTGTCATGTCCCACTTGTCAATATGCGAAATAACAACTCATCGAAAAGTTTCTCTCGAAGAGGGGACGGTCAGGGGAAAGTGAAAAATAAGACGAGATTAAAAAATGATCAGACTCGGGTATTTTCACAGAATAATGCAGCTAATTCTGTGAAAAATATGAAAAATATAATCTTCATCAGAGCTATAAACTTGCATCCTTAGGATACAATTAAAATGATCCCAAGGGGGTAAATGCAACTTTTCACATGCATATACAGTGCAATTTTAGCTTTCAAAATCTGCTTTTGAATGATTCACAAGCCGAGTGTTTGACAAAATGCATAAAAGAAACAACAACAGCAACAGGTTAAAAAAAAAGATAAGCTGCTTGAATATTTTTAGGAGATAAACTATACAAAAAAGACACCACGAGAAACTCTACCTGAAGCTTTTCCTGGCGTTCTACAAGCTTGTCCTTCGCTTGTGCAGCTGCAGCAGTAGTATCCTTGGAAAATTGACAACCATGTCAGAAAAATATAAGCCGCAAAATTAATCCAGTGAGATTATTCATATTATAGATTACCTCCTTCCTATATTTAGCTTTAATTTCTTCAGCTGTTCTAAGTCTTGGCTCTGAATCAGAAGATGCGCCCTCAGATAATCTTTCCTTTTCTGTTCCTTTAGCTGCAGAGCAACAAGAAGATTGTTTAAGCACGATTCATAAGTTAAAATACATACCTTAGTATGAGGAGGTTTTGGTCAAACATTTTGTATCTTTCTTATTTGCCTCTGATGAGGGCAAGACAACAAGAGGTTCATCAAAATCAATGTCATCTGCAACAAAACAGCAGCAATGAGGGGCGAAAAAGACAATACAGATGGGAACAAAAGAAGATGGGTGAAGCAGGTAAAGAACCTATGCTTAGATCCTGATGTGAGTGGCGTAGGGCAAAGAATAAGTCGAATGTCAAGTTCGTGCCAACAACAACAGGAGCGAGCACACATGTGAAGCGGCGAAAAAGAAACCAAGCGGCAGATGGTGGGAGGGAAAAGGGGAAGTAAATCGGAAGGATGAAGGTTCTAGACTAGCAGTAAGCTATCAGCGCATAGGAGTGGGAAGCATCATGAGTATAGTCTTCTAGAGCTAGTACGGGCAGAGGAAGCGCGTTCATGGTCATCTAGTAGAGAGGTCCATTAGAGTGAGAGAGAGAAGAGATCGTCTTTGGAGAGCGATGGTTGATGGATAGTGGGAATTATTGTAATGTGTGAAGTATGCTCTCTAAATGCGGGTCGCTAGATAGCGGCAGAGGAACGAGTACTCTTACGGCATTAGAGAGAGACTTCCGAAGAGAGGGAGATTAGATGCTGCAGCTGAGTAGCGACTGAGGCAGACTATGTTAGTGCCACAGTCTATAGGGAGCGCAGGCCCTTATCTGAATATTATGAAAGGCCCCCGCAGAAAGTAGCCAATAGTACGGAAAGCAAGCCGAGATAGACTAGTGCGCGACAAGAGGGATCAAGGTGTATTTGCGAGAGACGCAATGTGAAAAGACAGAAAGAGATAAGGGGATCGAGGGGAGGTAACCAGGAAAAAGATACGAACTTACAACTCGATGTGTTTCATTGGTAGGTAGGAATGGAACAGGTAAGAGCTGGACAGGTAGTGTGCATGCCAATTGCTGCAGTATGATGAGGCAGCAGGGCTAAGGACGCTATTAGTATCTCGATTGCAGGGTCAGAAAGGTGAATGAATAAGGTAGGGCGTAGGGAGGGGACGAGATAGATGAGTAGTCATGGAAGGTCACTATGAGGTGCTGTAGAGCAGTAGCTGATTCTTATGATGAAAAGAAGAATAGTGAAGGGTGGAAGACTCGTTCATGATTAAGAGAGGATGTAGTCTGAGTGGAGCTATACGGAGCTTGACGGAGTTATAATAGACAATCTGATTGTAGATAGCGCATATGGCAAGGAGGAGCCGAGAAGAGAGGATGAGTAGTGATGTGTGATAGCGCGTCTTGAATGGAGGCTATTTTAGTCAGGTGGGGACCATTGATACATGGAAGAGAATGAGAAGTCGGCTTAGAGTACATGGAATCGAAATTCAATGCTTACCTACAATATTCACCAATGTCAGCATCAAGTTAGGTTATTATGCGCGCAAGCTACAAATCCAAATTGAATGCTGTTAAAAGAGAATGAATACGGAACACTAAAGTGAACTCGAAAAATATAATGTTGCTCAACTAGGATTCTGCTACTGGCAATCTTGATCTTGAGATTTGGTAGCAAGTATGACAAACATGGGAGGGAAGCGTCCTAGGGGCGAATACTATATTAACAGTGCATGCTAATTATATCAATCTGTGTGAAACAATGCTAGAACAATTCCACTGTAAAAAGACATTGAAAATGAAATCTGCGGAGGAGACTATTTAGATGTCTGAAAGGCAGAAGACGCCCTATCAAATGACATGAGTAAAAAATGAGATACGATCAAGAAACAAATTCTAGAACTTCCAATGTAAAAACATGAAATGAAACTCTGGAGCACATTTAGATCTAAACGCCCTACAAATACATGAGAAGATACATGCAGTCTCAGGAATAAGTTTGGCAAAACATTCATAAATTTGCACACCTTCATCATCCTATTTGTCAGGAGCTGTTTCAATTATTTTGAGCCTTATATTTCATCAATTATTTTCATTTAAGCTCAAGTTTCACAAATATTTAGAATTAGACCAAGAGCCTGAAACCTATATGGGCACTGACAATTGTGTTTTTGTACATAGTGAATTGTAGTTATCCAACTCAATTGGTTTTCATTCACTCACTCACTCATACGGGTTTGCTGAACTCCATTGAAAAAACAGGTGAGGATGGAAATAATCAACAATGATATATGAATTACTCCCTCCAGCCTGTCTATTTCATCAATTTCCAATATTTTAATTTTATAAGGCAGCATGCATAAACTGTGAAAATACCGATCAGTTTCCCACATTATCCTGTCTTCCTTATTTTACCAATTATAACTATGAACAATTTTGCTCAATGTACTAGTGGAAGAATACTATGAGGTATTCCAAGATGGTATTGTATTGTAAACAAAACAATAGGGATAATGGTTTTAAAAACAGAAACTTCTGCGCCAACCAGTGTGATCTGGTTTGTCTCCTTGCTCTATTTAAAAAGTGTGGAGAGTGGGAAGTTTCATGCACAAGGTTTTTTTCTCTAATTTGGTGAGATTTATTAAACAGGGAAGCATTTTCTCATTGATTCTTGTATACAGGAAAACTCCTACAACTGGGTTGGTTTTCGCAATAAAATTTCAGTTACCTACCTAAAAAGACATTTTCTCCCGGAAATTTTCCTATATTCAAGTTTCCATGCAGCCATCTAGTTAACATGAAGCCCAATTCATGTTTTTTCATTATCCAAAAGGGGAAGATCTACACCCAAGCCAAACTTACCTGGCCACCCTCACTAGTTAACATGAAGCCCAATTCATGTTTTTTCATTATCCAAAAGGGGAAGATCTACACCCAAGCCAAACTTACCTGGCCACCCTCACCACATGTAAAGATATGAAGGTGAGAATCAATCTAATCAATACAACCGCCTTGAGACTACAAGTGGTCCACATGGCTCCAGCACTAAATATTTATATTGTATATCATATTAGCAGGTTTTCATGTAGATTTTGAGGCTAAAAACTTCATTCCACACTTAAGAACAGATGAGAAAAACATTTCCAATATCCAAAAGTGTAAAAGTCAAGACAAATTAGAGAACACAAGTATAGAAAGTGCAGAGTATTGAGATATCTCATCAAGTTTCAAATGAATAGTCCTTTAAGTAGTGGCATACTAATTTTCAAATTTATTGAGTTCAAATATTGGTATATGACATTTTATTTATTTAATTCATGAAAAAAGCAAGACACAGAAAGAAAGCACCGTGAGCTCTATGAAATTCATGAAGATAATTCAGGCAATCATAAATCAGGATCTTCCCTGGTCCTGATTATAGAAAAAAATGAAAGAACTAATCAATTTCAAAGAAGGAAAAGAAAAGGACAAACCAGCATTATTTGTGCGGTATCACTTGAACATATTGTCTTATCCATGTTAGTCTTAAAGTTCCACCTCAGAATTGACATTAAAGAGCTTTCTCCCACCACTTCAAGATCTGACAGAGACCTGCCAAACAATTTGCATCCATTTCAAAACTGATTTCTTGTTATCAATTACTAGTAGTGAGATTAACAAGGACATCGATTTCCACTAAAGGTCAGATACAATCATGTTTTGCCATTATGCACAATCAAATTAACCAAAGGTACGAAGAGTGCTTTACCTTATTTCAATCACTCCGGTCTGATACAAGAGAATGAGCCCACACTCTTTTTCATCCTTCTTGAAGGTTGTAGTCCAACAACATTGTTTCAAAAGGTCCACCTTGTGAATGGGATTCCTATCGCCCTAAAATGAGAAAGTTTCACTTGTCGGAAATAGGAGATACAAAAATGTTGAAAATAAAAATGAGTATTATCAAAAGTACCTCCTTCAGAGATTTGTTGAAGAATAAATGAAATGAGGTAGTTATCAAAATGTACCTCCTTCGAGATTTCATAGAGTAATAAGTGCTAATGCGATCCTCCATGAACAAACCAGGAAGAAAAATTGTTCTCTAATGTTCTGGCCTGGAAAATAGGCTGTTTTGTCCAGAGGATTTCACCGTCCAATGTTTAAAGTGAAGTTACTTCCGGAGTTAGCATTTCTTTGATCGGTTTCACTTGGTTCATTTTCTGGCTCGAAGTTAATTGAAATATTTTTCGCGTGTCCACTCTTCTGGCATAGACGCAAGTTTTCTACAGGAAGAATCCACAAAAAACTGTGAAGGCAAGAGAAAAAAAATTTACGTCTCTGCACCAGTATGGAAAATACTCACCTAATGAATTGCATTAAGAAATATAACAGTCAATTCCTTTTTCAGATTGTACGTGATTGGAGAGGAAAAAAAAAAGACTATCCTTCCGCAGTATTGTCATTAGAGAACAACAATGATGTGGCAGTTTGCTGTCAGGAATGAACACTTCTGCCCTTCATATGATCTGGCCTTATTTTTGGGAATTCAGACGTCCTTCTGAAATTGACTTATTACACCTGACAGTATATTGGAAGACAGATTTCATAGCAGAGACTTACAATAGGGTGAGCCTAGAGTTTGGGTAAACAGTGTCAGTAAAAGAAATACACTGACAATGTTACTTTAATATCACATTGCCAAACCTGGAAAATCAGTACAAAATTGAAAATCTCTTCAGATCATTTGTTTAACATCTGCGCTTATCAGAGGTGACAATTCAGGCTAAGACTAAAATTGAGAGAGAGGAAATAATTAAAAACAGATGATTCCTACGTGCCCCTTGCAATCCCACAGCAAGTCTAAGTTTCCAAAACTTGGCAAACAGTAGGTGCATAGGAGAAGACTAATGAGATGAGAGGAAAAAAAAAACAGATGATTCCTACCGTGCCACATTGAAATCCCACAGCAAGTCTAGTTCCAAAACTTGCAAACAGTAAGGTGCATATAGGAGAATTGAGGAAGGAAAAGACAGCTGTGCATTGAGGCCCATCCCCTTGGTGCAAAGTGTGGACTGCACAATTACCAATAAGTAATTAAGATGACAAGAAGAAAAAATGTCATGCATTGTTGGTCAACATATCATCAGACACCACAAAATAACTTTGATTTAATGTCATTGGCAAACAAATTAGCAACTTATCTAGCGCCAGTGCAAAATACATTAGTTCTAGTTGTTATATCATCCACTGTTGGCAAAAGAAAGAAGAAATTCAGCAACAAATCCCCAATGAAATCTTACTGCTTAGTTCAAGTTTGTTGTAAGATGAACCAGCTAATCCGAAACAAACATTAAAAGAAGGAAAATACACACACAAATTATCCAATCTTCAGAAAGAAACCTCACAACTGTTCTTAAACTTCTTCACAAAAAAATATAATTTAGAGAGCACCAAATATGTTATGTGAGAGCATTGGGTGTGGAACAACATTGTCTTTTGAATGTTATTGGCAAACATTTTAATGAATTTAACTTCAAAGTCTCTATAACTTATACTAGCAATTATAGGTTCAATGGCTGATCAACCAAGCTTCGATGGTTGCTCGGATGAGTGATTAAGAAATGGGTACAGTGCTTTCTCTGTTTCTCTCTCTTTTTTTTTTTTTTCAAGATGTACAAGGAACTCTTCTCTGGTGGTAATAGTTATGAAGAAAAGAAAAGTAGCTCTTAGTTAGACGTCCTATAAATGCTCCATAATGACATGGTACCATTGTGCCATGGCATGACAGCTGCTTAAATCTTATTTAGCTATTAGATCTGTCTAAGAATATTAAACACCAACTCTCCAATATCTCATGGTCAGTAATTCCTCAATGAGTTCTCAAAACCAAACTTGTCAGAACGGTTTCAAGTTTCTGAAAAATGTTTTCTAAATGAAATTCACTAATAAAGACACATGATATCCAATGCAAAGAAATTCAAAGATATATGATACCTTCCTTTTCAGTTTCTTTGACAATGTGCAAACTTGTCTCATTTGCACTCCCCGTGAGCTTATATAGATGAACCTACATACTCTCAAATAGACATACAATCACTACACGCATCAAATCTTGAAAACCGTAAAAAACAAGGCACCCATACAAAATTCAAGTCTTACCATACCAAGTTCATTGCCAACAGCTAAAGTCAAAGTGAACGAGCATAATTCCAATGTAGATACTGATGCACTTGCACCATCGATATTGATACCTTTCACCTGTCCATAAAAGAAAATTTGGGCTTTTGATCAATATTGTCAAAGAAGCAAAGATGGTGAGTCCACAATATTGAAACCTTTCACCTGTAACAAAGTACTAACCTCAGGCCCCAAAACATAAACAAGTGGAAAAATTGGAAGTGTGGCATCCCATATTCCGACAGATCCATCCTGGTAACCTGCTACATATACTCTCTCAACCTGATAATTTTCAGCATCAAGAGGCTGGCTACGAACACCACCAGTCAAAGGCCAATCCATAATTCTTGGTGTATGTGCTACCTGAAGTTTGCAGCAGAAAATTTCTAATAGAAAAATTCCAAAAGGGTGGGAGAAACAACTTTACTAAATATACCAATATAATAGAAAACAAAGATTTATTGGAACTTGTGACTTGTACTTTTGGAGTGGAGACTAACCAGTCAACAAGATAACTCAAGACTCCAATTGATAGTTGGAAAGCTTTTGCAAGAAAATGATTCTTAGGAAAAATACAAGGAAAGTAGAAATTAAATGACCACTTTGCAACAAACAACTTTACTTCTGAAAGTAGAAATTAAATGACCACTTTGCAACAAACAACTTTACTTCTTTCCCACTTCATAGAATGCAAAATAAGACATCACGAAAGTTGAAAATACTTTTCATTTTCTTCTAAGCCTAGCCCGCCTCTGAGGCATGATTGTCTACCGCCTGATAGTGCAGCAATGAGGGATGAAGAAAAGAATGGCATACCTTAAAAAGAGCCTGTGAGAACTTCCCAACTCCATTTACCAAACCCAGCTTTCCCACAGTCATGTAGGGTTCAGCAATTGGTATGATCACGGGATACTGCACTGAAGAAACAGAATTTTGTTTCTGTTGCTGGGACATTAAGGAAGCTAAGCAAGCACCATCATAGAAATGCAGCTGTCCGGGATTTGTCAATATTAAGGTGCCTTTGGTTTTGCTAACACCATCACTTGGTAATAAAACCATATCAGCAAAAGAGCCATTAAGAGTAAGATCTATGCGCCCAATGCACTCAATGGTTTCTATCCCAGAAGACCAATCAATGCTTATTATCTGTAAGAGACGTATTGTTAATAGAATATGCACATCAAACAACTTGGTAATAAAACCATATCAGCAAAAGAGCCATTAAGAGTAAGATCTATGCGCCCAATGCACTCAATGGTTTCTATCCCAGAAGACCAATCAATGCTTATTATCTGTAAGAGACGTATTGTTAATAGAATATGCACATCAAAAAAGCTGAACAAATTTAAAAACAAAATGACTAGGAGACTAATTGTTGGATTTAATTATTAAATTAATGAGAAATCTAAAATCTTGCCACAACAGAAGATGTGAAAAACTAGCACGGGTACTGAAATAGACTATAACAACATTGTAATTTATAAAACACTAACTAAATATAGAAAACAAAATATGCACAGAAGAAAATTGTGTAAACAGAGTACCACATTGGCATATTAGGAAAGTACGCAAAAGCTTTTATGCTGTATTACACTGATTTCCATTCAGTACATGACCTCCTTTCCTTATACCTCAGACAAATTCAGACATAAATTATGGCCTAATAAACCAAAAAATAAAAATCCTTACATTTTTTTCCAATTTTGTCCAAACCTTTAAAATTACAAGAATTTTAGCCAGATTAGTTGCAATTTAACCAACAGATCAAGTTTAATAAGTAAAACACTTTAAATTGGTGTTTCCTATCTTTTTCCCTCTTCCCTCCCCCTCTCTCTTCCCCACTCCTTCTTCCTCTCCTCTATATCACCATTAGATGCTAAACCTCAAACTGAATCTCCCATTCTCTAACTAACGTAATCAAATCTCCTCTTCTTCACCAAGTCAATCTCTTTTCTTCCATCTAAAATAATCCATCTCTAACCTAATCAAAGCCCAACAACCAGTCCCTCTTTTACAAGACAACAGTTGATCTTTATGTTCAATCCTGCTCTAGAGAGCAAGCTGTTTTCCATTCAACCAGGTTCAGTTGCTAATCAATATAGTTGTACAGTTAAGATCAACGCCTTCTCTAGAAAGCGCTTAAAAGCTTTGAGTTGTAGAAGAAGATGCAGCTTGATGGGATGCTTCCTAGTTGTATAATCCATGATCAATGAGTATTCTAGTGAAAGGAAAATATATATAGCTTATGAATTGTTTGATGAAATGTGTAAGAGATTTTTGGCATCTGAGGGTTGCTGCATCTAAAAGCTCTCATCAAAATTTCAAAAATGACAATGATTTGTCTATTTTTTTATTAGGCCTCGAATTACACCCCGCAACTGTTTCCCCAATGAAATTAAATTCCTTAGCATTCATCTTAGGATTTTAGGTAGCCACAAATTGTGAAAAAACTGAAAAATAAAATGGATTTATTAAGTACTGAGAACGTGGATACAAAAACAAAAAACAAAACCTTGATATTTTATTAAGCTTAGTATCTAGACTATTTATACAGAAAACAGAGACTAAAGATAAGATAAAATCAATCTCAAACTTGAAACAGAAACCAACCAAATCTCCCGGAGCTTGCCTCTGAATTTTGCTAAAGATCATGCAAAGTTTGATTTTCCAGAAAAATCTTGCAGTGGTTGAGTTTTTGGAGGATCTTGCGGAACACATTTTGAACTTGAACTGGTTACCGGTAGAACTACGTTATCACACAATATTTGTCCTTTGACTGAGATTTTTTGTTGAGAGTCTCCACCCTTTTCTCTCCAAGAATTACAACAATCCGCCACACCAGGTCACACACCACGAACCGGGCCCAGACTATTAAACCTTTTCCAGAGGACTATAATAATAACAAAAATGTGTAAGAACTGAAAAATAAAATGGTAGTTTAAATAATAAAGTTACCTGAGAACGTGAAGATACAAAAACAAAAACAGAGAACCATTGATATTTTTAATTAAGCTTAGTATCCTAGGGAACTATTTATACAGAAACAGGAGAAACTAAAAGATAAGATAAAATAATGTCCAAATTCTCAAACTTGAAACAGAAACCAACCAAAATCTCCCGGAAGCTTCCTTTTAACTGAACTCCTTTGACTAAGATCATGCAAACGTTTGATTTTCCAGAAAATCTTGCAGTGGTTGATTTTTATAGTAGGATAAACTTGCGGAAACACATTTGCCACCCTTGAACTCCAATGAATATACCGGAATATAAGAACTACAGTTATCACACAATATTGTCCTTTGACTGAGATTTTTTGTTGAGAGTTATCACACAATATTTGTCCTTTGACTGAGATTTTTTGTTGAGAGTCTCCACCCTTTTCTCTCCAAGAATTACAGTCACCCTTATCTCTCCATTGACTCTCACTAATGCCGATATTTGAGGAGGAGGAACCAATACTTGAAAGGGAATTGTTAATACAAATAATGATATAAGGCGTACTTCCTGATGATTTCTATTAGAAAATATTAGCTTTCAAAAATTGTAACCTAATCTGAGTTGGAAATCCCCACCGTTAGAACCTCTTCAGACCCAATTGCATCTCCACCATCTATAAAAAGTTGACCACGACAATCATCACTTGAACCTTTTCCAGACCAATCCAAAATAATGACTGGGAGTCTTCTTTCGGCTGAAGATAATTGCAACCTAACAACATCCTTCGATAAATTTTCAGCTTTCTCATCTGCAGAAGCAGTAGCTGATAGGTTCCACAACATTATATCTCCATCAACATAACCAACAGCCAGAACAGAGCCATCAGTAGATGCCCAACACAGAGAGCTTATTTCTTTCTCCACCCTTTCATATTCTGATATATCATCAGAAAGGTTATTTCCCATGCCTTTGTTCATATTCTGATATATCATCAGAAAGGTTATTTCCCATGCCTTTGTGAAAACCAGCCAGTGTTTTACTCTTCAATTGAAGATCTTTATTGCCTTTAACTAGAATAACTTTATCTTCAGAAACATCCCAGAGAATAATCAATCCATCATCATATGCAATCAACAACCTGTAAAGGATAGAAATTCTTTGAAGTGCATCAAGAAGAAGATTAATATGGGTGCATTCCCAGAAAAAGTATCCAGATATGGATATATATATATATATATAGGGACATGCGTATATATATATATATATAGGGACATGCGTGCAACATAACACACACACACACACAGGATAAATGACAGAATTCCTCTGATATGTGTATGTCTGTGTAGTCTGAATCTCTGTTTATAGAACCTGCTCCAACAAAACTTTTTCTAAAGCAATAGCATAATTACCAGTCCACATTTATTGAGTCACATGTTAGCTTAAAGAGCAGTATACAGTCCCATATGCCTCTATGCAGATATTTATTATCTCAGAAGATTACTATGTTCAATGCTAGTAGATAAATTGTAATCAGTCAAATTTATAAAAACCAGGAAAATATTATTTTTATATTGGGAAGAAAAACATTGAAAAGAAGCCTATTTCCTCGAGATGCAGGTTGAGGGAGAAGTCCAACAACAGAGTGATGATTAGGGGAGGACATCCCAGATGCTTCTGTGAAATTAAACAAAAATGTGAGACCAAGTAACAATACAGAAATAAGCAGGTAAGCACATGTGCACATGTACACAATGAGGTGACTACAAAGTAAGACAAAAATTAACACCATGCCACATTGTACCATGAAAATCACAACCTTACCAGTAACTAATCATCAATTTAAAAGGAATCCACATTGTACCATGAAAATCACAACCTTAGCAGTAACTAATCATCAATTTAAAAGGAATTAATCTGAAAACTGATACTTGAATGAAGCTGAAGTACTGATAAATGAAGACACCCATTGAATTTGAAGGGGAGGCACTCTATTCAAACTTAATCAAACAAGTCAAATAAATGAAACAATTACCAGCTATTGAATCTGTAGGAACATAATATGGAAGTAGTACAACTTTAGCGGCTTCAGCATCATATTTTAACACAGACACCATCCCATACTCGTCTCCGACATACCTAAAGTGATGATGTGACAAAGTTTATCAATCGAGTTATACTAAAATTTCACATGCATTTGCAGTCAATAAAGTCAAATCCCAAGTGGGAATACTATATAATATTATTATTTCCAGGTATTATACATGTAACTCAGACCACAAATAACAGAGAATGCTGTTATATTTGACTCCCATCGCAAAGTAGAAACCAGTAGCCTTTGCTCTAAATCCCACACCTGCCAACGTCATAAAATTGTTAATAAACCAATCATATAAGTCCACAAATAACAGAGAATGCTGTTATATTTGACTCCCATCGCAAAGTAGAAACCAGTAGCCTTTGCTCTAAATCCCACACCTGCCAACGTCATAAAATTGTTAATAAACCAATCATATAAGTTAGTGTGGGTAAAAAGACTCATTAAAAAATGCAAAACAAAGAGAAATCAATACAGATGCTAAAGACATGAAACAAGAATGCAAATAATAGCTAGCAGTAAAACAGTGTTCAACAACCATATCTTCAACGAATGAAATTACCAGAATCTCATTTTCAGCAGTGATGCTGGCTAGGAAACCTTGGTTTTGTAGGAACTGTAAAATGTACAAAAAAAAAGCTCAGTATATTGCACTCAAAATTGCCAAACTAAGAAGCACATAATGATGACTAGCAAGAAGCTTCACTTAACCATATTCAAGAGCTTCAACAAGGGATATCTGTGGATAATTTATTACTCGGAGCAATCGATTACAAATGGCACCCCTTAGTCATATTCAACTAACAACCTCAATTTTATACTAGAAAATTTCCTTTCTGTTTTTTTTGTGGTTTTCTCTGTTTTTCTCTTTGGAGTCTTCATGTATAATGAAGACGTTAAGTCCATGGCAGAATTTCCTTTTTCTTGGCCAAAAAATCATGAAATTCAAGAAGAGCCATTAAAACGTGAACACTCAGTTCAAGAAACTACCGTTTCTTCTTTAAGTTCAAGAACTTCGCTTGAAGAACCTCACGATCAAGAAACTCGAGAATCTGATAAAAATCCCAATAATTCCATTATTGCTGCAGTTAAAGACGATGAACAGAAATTTGAGTTGCCTGTAATTGATGAAGATGAAGAAGAAGATGACATTGAATTGCCACCAGAAGAATGTGATCTTTTTACAGGGCAATGGGTTTTTGATAATGAGACAAGGCCTTTGTATAAAGAAGATGAATGTGAGTTCCTTACTGCACAAGTGACTTGCCTTAGAAATGGAAGAAAAGATTCTTTGTTTCAGAAATGGAAATGGCAACCTAGAGATTGTTCGTTGCCAAAGTAAGTCGAAAATTAGAAAGCAGGGTATCATTTTGATAGATTCTTGAAAATTTTCTTTTTATGTACGCGGTTAGAGTATTTTCTTGCTTTGGGTGAAAAAATTAGGGTTAATTTGATAGATTCTTGAAAAGTTTTTGGACATTTTCTTGAATTGGGTTTTTACCAGATTTTGTTTTTGCTTGTGTTAAAAGGTACAAGCCAAGGGCATTGCTAAAAAGGCTAAGGAATAAAAGGCTTATGTTTGTTGGAGACTCATTAAACCGAAATCAATGGGAATCAATGATTTGTTTGGTTCAATCTGTGATTCCTCCTGGTAGGAAGACATGGAGGAAGGAAGGTTCTCTTGCTATTTTCACTTTGTGTTAAAAGGTACAAGCCAAGGGCATTGCTAAAAAGGCTAAGGAATAAAAGGCTTATGTTTGTTGGAGACTCATTAAACCGAAATCAATGGGAATCAATGATTTGTTTGGTTCAATCTGTGATTCCTCCTGGTAGGAAGACATGGAGGAAGGAAGGTTCTCTTGCTATTTTCACTATGGAGGTACCCACTTTTAATTTTTTATCTTAATTTTAGTGTTAATTATCTTTATGCTCTTAATGATAACATTAATGAAAGGAATCATTACTTTTTCTAGCTTTTCTTTTGAGTAATTAATACTTAGATTAGCGATTTGTTATATCCCTAATTACTTTTCCTTACTATATAACTTCACGAAGACTGTGATTGGCCATGCAAAATTACGTCACATGCATATCATTTTATCCTTTTCATACTTACGATTATAAGAAACAAGAAAGCAAGAGCATACATATATAATTTATATTACATTTTTGATATTTTGATATTAGTTGATTTGATTCTTGTTTTACAGGATTACAACTCGACAATAGAGTTCTATTGGGCCCCATTTCTTGTGGAGTCAAATTCGGATGATCCGAAAATGCACAGTATTTTGAACCGTATAATCAATCCAGAATCAATCAATAAACATGGTGTTAATTGGAAAAATGTGGATTACTTGATTTTTAACACATACATTTGGTGGATGAACACTGCAAATATGAAAGTTCTGTAAGTATATATATGCTTAATTGGGTGTTTTTTATTTTTTTGATTCGAGTTGATTTCATTTATTATTTTCTTTGTTAATTAGACGTGGGTCGTTCGATGAAGGAGCCACTGAGTATGATGAGATCCAACGGCCGGTAGCTTATCAGAGAGTTTTGAATACATGGTCTAAATGGGTAGATGAAAATATAGATGCTAATCGAACCACTGTCTTCTTTAGTAGCATGTCTCCTCTACATATCAAGTAATTATCTTTTCTTAAATTCTTATTATGAGTTTTCTTTTTTAATATTAATTGCTTAATCTTAGTTAATATCAGTCAAATTGATGGCCCAACAAGGACTATTAACTTAACTAATAAGCAATTTTTTAATTTTTTAATTCAAATTTGTTTAATGGAGACAAGAAATTTTTGTGCAATTAGGTATATATTAGGTGATTCTTGGTGGTTGATGTTGGTTTTATGATTAGTACGTACTGATTTAACATATATATAATATACGTAAGTATATAATCTCTGGTGGGTTACCCACTAATCATTGTATATTTATAAAATTGATTTATTTATTTATTTATTTGAATTAATAGGAGCTTGGATTGGGATAATCCAGATGGGATAAAATGTGCAAAGGAGACAACTCCAGTTCTCAATACGACAAGCCGTTTGAATGTGGGCACAGACCGGAGGTTACTTGTTATAGCAGCAAATGTGACAAAATCAATGAAAGTGCCTGTTCATTTTATCAATATCACTACTCTTTCAGAGTTTAGAAAAGATGCACATACCTCAGTCTACACTATCCGCCAAGGCAAGATGCTAACACCGGAGCAGCAAGCTGATCCGGCGACCTATGCGGACTGTATTCATTGGTGTTTACCTGGATTACCTGACACGTGGAATGAATTTCTTTACACGCGTATCATTTCTCGCTCATGACCTTTGAAGAACCGCACCCCTCTTTTTTTTTTTTTTTTTTTTTTTTTTTTTTTTTGTCTTTTCAGAACCGCACCCTTTTTCTTTTTTTTTTTTTGTCTTTTCATTTTTTTTTTCCTTTATAAATGTGTTCTTCTTGTAATTTTTTTCCCTAAATTTCCTCTTTTTAGCTTTTTATAGCTTTTTATAGCTTGAATTTTAGGTTCCCATCATCCACAACTTTACTTGACTGAGGTGGGAAGCTTATTAGGCATGGAAATTTTGTGGTAATGGGTCAAAAACATGCCTAAGATGAAAAAATTGGACAAATTGGATATACTTGTAATTTCAATTGTATAATCCAAAATAATAAAGTAAAAAAAAAAATGTATGTACAATGCAACTATCTTGGCTATTCTTTTTTTTTTTTTCTTGTGTATATTTTAGTTTGTTTGTGTTTTTCATTTGTTCTGAATTGGGATCCATATTCCTTAAATATGAGTGTAAGAATTTATGTGCTATAGGCAAATGCATTTCTGTGATGCTTTGATAAGTTATGGTACAAGCAAGAAATATAGGCTTTTGTCTGAATGTATGTGAATTTTAGAATTTGAAGTCTTAACATGAAATACCCCGAAATTTTATTTTCAAAGCTTTGGAATTTTTATTAAATCAAAAACCCGAATTTTTGATAATATGGGTTGTTAAGACCGAGCAAGTTTAACTTGAGCCTGAATTTGAATTGGGCCCAAGCCCAATAACAGACTGTCCGGAAATTTTGAAACAGGACTCGGCACAGCACTTCGTCTTCTACACTGTCCGGAAATTTTGAATGAAAATTAAAATGGACCCATGCTACTACTATAAACTTATAAACTAATTATCCTGAATTAACTTAGTGTTATTATTATTGTTGTATTATTAGAAAGTAAGTTGAAGAAATGTTTTATGACCCAACTAAAATAATTAAATAAATCGAATTGGACCCGGAATCAATTTGAATTGTCGAAAACCCCACGAATAATCCAAAAATCGAGTGAAAAAACTCGAAAACCAAACAAAAATCAGACCAAACCGGTTCAAATCGAACCGGAATGGTCTAGAAGCCACTTTCTTTCCTTTTCTCTTTTCTTTTCCTTTCCCTCCCCCCCCCCTTCCTCCCTTCTTCTTTCTCCTCTTCTTTCTCCTCCATGGCGTGTTGGCAGGCTCCTCTTCCCCTTGCGCTTACGCTTCCTGCACCACTCGGAACGGAAGATGGAGTGTATAGCGATCGGTTCGTCTTGTCGTCGGTGGTCAGCAATTCTAGGCCTCCCTCTTCACGTCGATCGGAGACGAGCTGTAGCGGCGCCATCTGCGGATGCAGGAGCTGTCTTCCTCGCGACAGTCGGCCCTCTATCTCCATCTACGGCGATCTACGCGTTCACGTCGATCGGGCCTGTAGCGGCGCGGATGGAGCTGTCTTCCTCGCGACAGTCGCTCTTCTCCATCTACGGCGATCTACGCGGTTTCTGGCGGTCCCAGTGGAGGAGACAGGCACCAATCAACTCTCCACGACGCTGTAAGTAATTTCCCTCTATCACTTTGCGATTTCAGCGAAGCTTGAGAAGTGGTTGTGTGCGGAGGAGGTGCAGCGGCTGTCGGACCCGATCCAGCCAATTAGAGGACCGATCCCATGAAATTAACAGTAGAATTGAATCCTTGGTGGATTTTGAGTCGAGTAGTGTGATCGTTGTGAATTTCTGGGCGGTTTGACGTTTCCGGCCACCGTGCACGGCGTTCGGCGGCAACGGTCCGGTGACCGGCCGGCGACACTCCGGCGAGGCCTCGAGAGACAGAACGCTCTTCTCTTCGCGCTGATCGTGGAATCGTCGCCCGATTCTCAATTGGTACGTTCTAAGATCACCCGATTCTCAATTGGTACGTTCTAAGATCAGTTTCTTTATCTTCGGTATAAATTATAAACTTAATAAATATTAGTTAATTAAATTGAATTTGGGTAAATAATCAAACAAATATAATTTTGTTAAGAAGCAATTGTTATATCATCGATGTAAGCGAAGTTAGGAATTTGGATAAATATTGTTAGGAGAAGTTGTAAATTAAGACTTAGACAATGGATGATTTTGGATTGGAACTATTAAGAGTATACATATGTGAGTTTGATTAGAAATTTGGTTCTAGCAATGGTATGAAGAAAGAAAGACATGTATAGATTATAGATGATTTATGACATTGATTAGTTAATGTGTAATATATAATTTTGGTATCGAAAAACTCCGAAGGAATTTAGTTAATGATTATTGAATACATTAAGCGTTTAGTTTTATATGATTGTTTAAAGGGTCTATATTAGATAGTTTAACTTAGTAACTTTTGTGGAAGTTTAAGCAATTAACGTATTTTTCATTTATTTTGCTTATTTTATTCATTTACTTAATGTTATATAGTAAGTTAAAGTTTGACATGGACAATAATATTGAATGCGAATGTTTTGGATGGAGGAGGGAAATAAATTTGTTTAATTCCCGATGGATGGGCTGTGTTGTATTGATTGAATGATACTTAGTGGTTGTTGGGATATTTAAACAAGGTTGATAGTCCCATTTTAGGGGAGGTGCTGCCGAAATTTCGGTAGACTTTTAGACTGATTTAAATGGATAACATAACAAATTAATAGTTTAAATTAGATAATTTTTACAATTCGATACTATTAAATAAAGTGCTTTAACTTACCATTATCATTATCATGTCTATTATTATTATTATAATTATTATTATTATTTATTTTATCGTTGTTGTTATTGTTGAGATTATTTGTTTTAATTAAATTAATTGCATTTGAGAATGGATTGTTTTATCTGTGCATTGCATTACAATGTTCAGCTGATCCAATATGTCTGGCATCTAATTGAAATGCTGATTAATTGTGTTGTGCCTTGTTTTGGTGTGGAATTGGGATGAAGTGGGTCACCAATGGGTTTGTGAAACTGTTTTATGTTATACGGATCCTGATTCTGTTTCTTGTTAGCCGTGGTAAATGGGAGATCGGCGCCCCCGTGTGCACCTTCTTGTTACCGTTACTGTTAACCACAGGTTGGCTTCTTTATTGGGCGCACCTGTAATCTAGATTGATCGCAGGCCCGCAAGGGTGGCCTCCTGTTGTGAGCGCCCTGATGATCTAGATTTGATGGAGACGACCGGCGTTGCCTCCTGTTGGTATTGAAAAAGGAAGGACGAGGGATAGAAAAACAATGAAGAGGGCTGGTCAAGTGAGGGATTTAGATCCGGTACAGGCAGTTATGGAGGGATCGAGCTCTTCTTGGTGGCACATGTGAGAGGATGAGCCTGTGGGAGGACGGCTCATCGGGGGTTCGGTGACTCCCACTGACTAATTTCCACGTGATGTTGGAATTATTGAAGGATGATATTGTTTGTAGTTGCTCGGTGACATGCCATTTTGTATGACTGGCTGCGTGAGCATATACTAGTCGGATGACTAGAACTGATATATATATATATAATATATATATATATATATATATATATAATATATATATATATTTATTTTATTTATTTTTATTTATACATTTGTGTGAGTGTGTGTGTTATGCAATAATAGTTACTTTCTTTAGGAGCTCACATATCTTGTTTAATTTTTCAGGAAGAAAGTTTCTTCTTTAATTCGACTAAGCTATTTCTTCGTCGCAGAGTTGAAAGGAAATTTTTCCTAGGCAATAAATATTTTGCTATGATATCTAGATGTATAGCGAATCTATGTATGTTATTAGTTGTGACTCCGAGTTAGTGACTCCGCAGTTGTAGAAACTGTATACAATTAGTCGTGTATGATAAACAATATAATTATATGGGCTGAATGTTTAATATTATTTTGAGCTGGTAAAGTTTTAGTGTTTCAGACTTACTACGGGCCTCGGGGGCCTTAAGCTTACCTGGGCCCTAGTGCCGGTCCGGCCCACGGAAACGGGTCGTGACATAACATCTTTTTTTTTTTTTAAATTCTAATATAATAAAAACAAATTGATGCTAAGACACAAGAACCTGAAAAATATATTCTATTTTTTGAAAGATTAAGATTTTAAAATTATGTGTGCATGTTTTTTAAATTATGATAAACATGATAAAAGAAAAAAAAATAAAAAAAATTATTCACCATTTGTTACATTTGCATTTAATTTTAATTTAATTTATTTAGAATTGTAGCTTAGGTTATGGGCTTTTCAAACCCTCTGCCCTTAGTTTCTTACTTTCTGCAAGGCCTTCACTGGCTCTTCAAATCAACTGTACAGGTTTAATGGGCTATCCCTGCTGTATTGCTAGCCCAATCTTCAAATTGACTGTATAGGTTTAATTTAAAAAAAAAAAAAAAAAAAAACACTATAAATATGAATTCCAATGAATATTTACAACACTGTATTGTTGTAAATATATTTACAACAAAATCCGTTTAACATAATGAATATTCCGAGATTGAAATTCACATTTTCTTTGAATTTGTTCACATTAATTCATTATTCATATATGAGTAATGGTTAGAATCATATGTGGAATTGGCTTTCTAAGGTGTTTAACGTAGGGGTGAGCAATCGGTCGATTCGGTTTAAACCGAATCAAACAAAGGATATAGAATATAGACTCAACTTTTTTACACACCCCTATCTCTAACGGACCCTAATCATGATGTTAGTGCATGACACTTAAAAAAGGCTTAGAAAAGCCAAACCTTCCAACGGAATTCAAGTGGTAAAGCAACAGCAAGCTCTCCAAATCCAAGAAAATGCATTAAAAATGAACATGGAAAAGAGAGAGAGAGAGAGAGAGATTCATTGACTTAAAAAAAAAAAAAATTGCATTAAAGCTTTAACAGTTCCCCAAGCATTATCACCTTACCTTTGCATGTAGGAGCGCAGCTCAAATGGAGGTTCAGAGGGGCTCTGCCACCTAAGAAATTGAAATTATAAATTACTCTCTTCCTTTTACCTTAATTGCATTGTTTGCTCTTTTAATAATATAAAATGAATATTTGTTACTATGGAATAAGTAAATTTTAATCTTTCAATATAAGAAAGTTACATTTCAATCTTCTAAAAACTTAAAAAATTTCATTTGATTCCTTTTGCTCTTTTAATAATATAAAATGAATATTTGTTACTATGGAATAAGTAAATTTTAATCTTTCAATATAAGAAAGTTACATTTCAATCTTCTAAAAACTTAAAAAATTTCATTTGATTCCTCTAAAATAATTATCTCCGTACATGCATCACTTCAAGATCAAGTCCTGCAACTTAGTGGACCACCTTGCTTTCCAGACATTGCCATAAATGCTGAGTTATGGTCACGTATGCTCTACTCTGCAATGGAACATGTTAAATAGTTCATTTAAGTATCAATCAGATCTTGTCCAAACATCTTCCTGTTACAAGTTCCAACTCCATAATAATAGGTCTTTCAATTTAATACTAACACATTTATTATGCATATGATTCTGTAAATGCTTCCGCTGATTTGGCCAATTCAATTTGATGAAGCCAAAATCAATTTTCACCTTAAAAGATAAATTTAAATTTATTTCGGTAAGACTTATCTTATTTTTTTAATTCATTAGAGATTTTTAAGGGCTGAAATACGCTGCATTATGTGAGTACGCTTTTCATTGATTAACTAAATTGATAAAAACAACTGTAGTCGGAGGATTCGAATACAAAACCTCTCACTCCTCATATAAGTGAGAAGACTAATTAGACCAACACCTAATTGGAATAAGATTTATTTTATTATTACATCAAAGTTTAGTTATTTTGATCTTACTCTGTTTTTTTTTTCTCTATTCTTGAATTGGGTTTAAATAAAAAAAAGTTTTATTTTACATTTATTGTTGGGTGCGTTATTTGTCTCATTATTTTGCTTGTAAAAATTGAAGAGCAAAGATATGCAAATTTCTCTCTCATGGTCTTTTCATTAATTTTCTATTGGTCCATCTCTCTTTACTCTATCTCATCACTTTCCACTAAAAAAATCCTCTGCTCATAAATTTTCTGTAGCAATCATTGTCAATGAAACTTCTCTCCAGATTCCGCCATAATTCTTCCATACTAGTTATGGTTTTGTTGATTTTCTTCTTTAAATGGTTTATTTACACTGACAACTTGAAGTCAGTAACAGAGTCATTTTTCTTATCAGGAATTAGAATTCCAGCAATCCAAGAAAAAGATGTTATATTACCCCCAAAAGACTGCAATTTTTATACAGGAAATTGGGTTTTCGATAATGTGACCCACCCTTTATACAAAGAAGAAAACTGTGACTTTCTCTCTAGGCAAGTTACTTGTATGAGAAATGGAAGGCAAGATTCTTTGTATCAGAATTGGAGATGGCAACCTAAAGATTGTTCTTTGCCAAAGTAAGCGATCTTCTTTTCTAAATTCTTGAATTGGGTTTACATTTTATTGCTCTGTTAATTGATATATTGCTATTTGTTTGATAAAAGGTTTGAACCAAGAATTTTGCTGGAGAAACTTCGTCATAAAAGACTTATGTTTGTTGGAGATTCTTTAAATCGAAACCAATGGGAATCTATGATTTGTCTGGTTCAATCTGCTCCAGGCAAGAAGAGCTTGAATGAGTCAGGCTCTTCTTCTGTTTTCAGAATTCAGGTGCACATTTTATTTAATGATAGTGTCCATTTCTTTTTTTATTGGAGGGCCTTGACTGCTTCATGTAATTAATCTATTGTACTTGTTTATTAATTATTCTTATTCTTTGTGAACACTAAGATTCTAATTTGGGTTTTTCTGCTCAAGCGTACTATGGATATTACTGCTAGGCTAAGCTTGTACGTGCAAGGTTTATGTTGTTTAATGACATCCTCAACAGTAGTTAATTGCTAATTTTGTTTTAGGACTACAATGCTACGATAGAGTTTTATTGGGCACCATTTTTAGTGGAGTCGAATTCGGATAGTCCAAGGAAGCATAGCATATTAGATCGTATAATCATGCCGGAATCGATTAAAACACATGGAGATAAATGGAAGGGTGTGGATTACTTGATCTTTAACTCATATATTTGGTGGATGAATACTCCAAACATGAAAGTCTTGTAAGTTAAATAACTTAAAAACTCAATTTCTAAAGTTCTTTATATTGTATGCCAAGCAATTCTTGTGAAGTTGATATATTTTCTTTGTGGGGTTAATGGAAGTGAAGAAGGCAAGGAACATTCAGTGAAGGTAATGTAGAATATGAGGAGATTGAAAGGCCAATAGCTTATGAAAGAGTTCTAAGGACATTGGCTAATTGGATTGAGCAAAATGTAGATCCTAAGCTTACTTCTGTTTACTTCATGAGTATGTCCCCTCTTCATATCAAGTAAGCTATAAGGTTTAAAGATTAAATGTAAGCTTTTCTTGATTTCGATCATGTGATGGTTTTGTATGTGAATGTACATATGTAAATTATTGCAGGAGCCTGGACTGGAACAATCCTGAAGGGATTAAGTGCGCTAAGGAGACTATTCCCATGACTCAACCATTTGATGTAGGTACTGATCGTCGCTTATTTGTTATTGCCATGAATGTGACTCAGTCCATCAAAGTACCCGTTTACCTCATCAACATTACTGCATTATCAGAGTATAGAAAAGATGCACATACATCGGTGTACACGACCCGCCAAGGCCAGCTGCTTACACCGGAGCAGCAAGCTAACCCAGCAATGTATGCAGATTGCATACATTGGTGTCTACCTGGGTTACCTGATACTTGGAATGAGTTACTATATACACATATTGTTTCTCAGTCTTAACCCCTCTAGAATTTTGCTGCTTCTTACAAAGTGTTGCAACTGTATAATCCATAGGTTTCAAATTTTTTTTTGGGGTAAAAAGAAATGTTTTTCAAAGAAAAAAAGAAAATTTACTGGTTTCTTAGCAGAAACAAAGGCAACTCAATATTAGCTTGATATGAGTGAGTAATCTTATTTTGGATTTTGCCCTGAAATGTTGCATTTGGTCCTCTGTTTTCTCTCTATACTTTTTTGGTATTAACCAAACAGGTAACCCTAGTTCACTCAATTAGAATTAAATTATGCTCAGATCAGTTCAGCCTATTAAAGGATAAAGCAGATATTTGCTCCATATCTGAAGATAGAATTCGATTTTACTTAAAGGAGAAGAATGTCGAATCACTCGTTACAATACTATTGATTTTTTTGTTACTTTTTTTTTTTTGATTGAAGTAATCCTTTTATGTACATTGAAAATTTTTATATGGCCAGGATAACTACTATTTCCGTTTATAATATTTGTTATATTTAAAATTTCACGTCTCTTAAAAAAACTATTAAATTTATCCAAATTATAATAAATTATTGAGTAAATTAGCTGTGTTACCCTTAATTTAATACTAATTCTCTAAGAAAACCCTTAAATTAAAGAAATAGTTATTGGTCATATACAAAAAGTAAACATGAAAAAAAAAAAATTTATTACTTCTTGAAACTACAATCGTGACAAATATTTTGAAATAAATTATTTTTTCAACTGTAATAAACAGTAATAATCTTTTGAATTTATTATGGCCCGTGTTTAATAGAAGTTAAAAATAGGTTTGTGGATCTCAAGATATGATATTGTTATAAACGAGGTTATATATAAATTTGATTAAGTTATGATTCGAAATGCATGTGAAATTGCTTTGAACAACGAAGGAAAAATAAATTGATCAACTCCAATTTTATAGGTAGCATTTAAGGTACTTCGCAATGATTCTATCCCTCTTATGCTTACCTATCAGAAGCTAAGTAGCATTCGTTTCCTTTAATGTTATTTGAGCTTTTTTTTTTTTTTTTTTCCAACCCTCGGATATTCAATATTTAAAATTTTATTGATCTGCTTAATTTGAATTTGCATCGGGCAAACTCATAAAGAGGTAAAACACATTATTTTAAATGTTTAAAGCAATTTCATATCCAGAATTCGAGTTTAGAATCAAAAGAGAAGAAACTTTTACTATCTCATTTCTCCTCTCAAATTTATATTATTTGAGCTTTCTCTCTTCTATTAAAAATTAAAAATAATAATAATAAGCCAAAGATAATATGCATGTGAACAATGACTTTGGAATTAAATTGTCTTTTCCAAGACCTACACTAGACATTTGGGTAATTGGGTTAGCTAAGAATGAAGGATTTGTGGTCATCCAACCATAGATGATTTATATTTCCTCTTATTTAATGGAAATCTATCCATGACGATATAACATTGTAGACTATATATAATAAATTGGTGAAATCTTTTGTAGTCTGAGAGAATTTCTGCTCAAGACTACTCACTTTCTACATCAGTAAAAATACAAATGATTACACCTGATTAAACTACAAATTCATATTATTTATCATGAAATTGAATTAAAATATCTATAAATGTTACACATTATATTTTGATTTCTTCTTTTTTTTTTTTAAGATAAAATGTATTACCGAAGCTTATAAATTAGATATTTGAACCCTACTTGAATCTATTGAAAATTTTATTTTTATTAATCGAACTCAATCATGATTACATTGTATTTGTTAGTTGATGATTGATTTTTGATTTTCTATTTTATTATTCTTTTTAGTATAATATCATATATGACAGGTGCCAATCATCGATTTTCAATATAATAAAAGTGCCTATTCTATTATTTTTTCCTGTATAATATCTTTACAATGGAGAAACCAAGCAACGGATAGGCTATGATAATGTCAAAAAAAAAAAAAAGGGATAGGCTATGATAGTGAAAATGACATTAAAAATACATAAGAGGGGATAGAACAGTTGAAAAGAACGTGGCAGAGGAGAAAAAAAAAAAAAGCTGTAAAAGATGCTTCACGGGTTCCAAGTTTGTGGTGTCAAAAACACGAAAAAAAAAAAAAAAAAAAAAAGTGAGAAAAAAAAAAAAGCTGGTAAAAGATGCTTCACGGGTTCCAAAGTTTGTGGTGTCAAAAAAACACGAAAAAAAAAAAAAAAAAAAAAAAAAAAAAAAAAAAAAAAAAAAGGAAGAGATTTTTTTGTTATACAGATTGAATTTAAAAAATTTTACTATTACAAATTAAATTTGAAAGACGACAATCCAATAGTAACCACAGTTGAAGACGGCGGAGTGAAATTAAGTCAAATTTATATAGATCAAAAGCAAATTTCACATGATCTTTCCTAAAATTGAATTGAATGTATTGCACATGCTAAAATGTTAACAATGTCGGTTAAAATTTTATTTATTTTCTTCTAAATTAACTCATTGGTCTATCATTCATTTTGCTATTTGCAACACTTATTTAATAATACTAGTTTACTTATTTTGCATGTTATATATCTTATTGTTAATACTCGTAATTTAACATTTCTTAATTAATAAATTTAAATCTAAATATAAGAGTTTCTAATTGAATTTAAATATTACTTCTTAGTAGTAATATTTGTCTTTTTTTTTTTATTAAATTTTGATATAAAATATTTCTTTTTGATTTTTAATATTAAATATAAGTATTAATCATTGTCATCATAATTGGGTTCAATTATTAGTCGTTTAATGTTATCATTGTTAAAATTTGAATTATCAAGAAACATGGAATTGTTGCTTTCAAGTTACACAATTCATTACCCGCAAATTATGCTTTTGGTTAGTTGAAATTTAATGCAAAAGGTCAAAACCAGCTCATTTCACAGAACAACTTCCATCCCTCAAATAGAAAGCTTCTTGTCGGCACCCTACATTACTTCTTAAATACCCTTTCAATTTATTAATCTTTCTAGGTACCAAGAACCATTGAAGCTTGATTTCTTAAATTTTTTTTTAATACCAATTACTAAAATTTTTCACGTACTAGTTAAATTATCTAATTAGGATACGGTATAATCCGTGCAAATGAATCAAATTTTACTAGTAATAAGGTCAGAAGTTTAAATCTTAGAGTTGCCACTGCTGAGAGATTACGTTTCATGCCGCTACATTTCTATTAAACAAAGGTTAAAGAATTAATTTTAATTTCTTTATTTTTTAATCCACCTGAAATAACAAATAAGTCACTTTCTTTGACTTATATCCTGCAGAGCTATCCTAAATCTTGATTTTGATGCGTTAGTTAATATATGAGTACATTAACAAAACTTATATATATATATATATAATCTGCAATACTATTGCTTCACTCTTGAGAAAGGTTAAAAATAAAATACATATAAATCTAAAGAAAATTGTATATTCTTTTGGTGTCAGCATTCAAATAAGAGTAACCAACACCATAAGTCATAAGTTCAGCTCCTAAACCAAGTTAAAACAACATTTCCATCAAGAAACGATGAAGAATAATGGAAATGGCAGCAAAATAAGCATTTACCTTCCAATCTTTTTAGTGTTTTCTCTCTTTCTCTTTGGATATTTTCTGTTTAATGAAAATTTAAACTTCAGTTCCCTTCCATTTCCAAGATTTAAAGAAACCTTACAAGAATCTTCCATTTCCAACTTCAGCAATAGTCCAAGATTTCAAGAAAATCGAGGAGAAGAAGAAGAAGAAGAAGTTTTGTTGCCACCAGAAGACTGTGATATTTTCAATGGAGAGTGGGTTCTTGATAACTTGACTCATCCATTATATAAAGAAGAAGATTGTGAGTTTCTACAAGAATCAGTAACTTGCCTCAAAAATGGAAGAATGGATTCTTTGTATCAGAACTGGAGATGGCAGCCTAGAGACTGTCATCTGCCCAAGTAAGTTTTTTTTTTTTTTTTTTTTTTTTTTTTGCGCCTATAATGTTATATATGGTTTTGATTCTATTTCTATTTGTTATTTTATAGTGAATTTATATCTGTATCGTTTAGAGAAGTGAATTTAGATTAATAGGTTGTGAATAATTAATATTTTTATATAATGATTTAAGTTGGTAGAGCAGTATAGCTAAGATATTTGCTTAAATATATTACTCTTCGGAGAGAGTTCTAATTGTTTATGTGGAGGTTTCTACGTCATTTGTTGTTTTTCTTATGCTAATTGTGTGAGGTGTATTATTGATTCTCTGTTTTATGGTTTCAGTTCAGCTTTATTCTTCAGACAGACGGCTCTCACTACGCAGGGGCTATATCAGCTTATTCATGATCACAGCTTTGGATCTTCTCTAATTCAGTTGTACTAGTGGTTAACTGTCTAGTTTTGTTCTTTAAATTTGACGTTCTTACAGTTTCTCTTTATTATGATGATAATATCTTACGTATATACGCTCTCTTAGAGGATAGTTATATGGATGGTTATTCACGTGAAGTTTGAATATGGATGATCTATAGAGTTATTCTGAGGCATCTACATTTCGTCTCTAGTATTTATGTCTATGTTTTTTTTTTCTTGTCTATTATTACATCATATGTTTATTTATTATAACAGAGATCATACACTGTTTTTGCGCTTATATACGTATATACACTCTCTCATGTTCATACTTGTCATTTTATTGGGATTATTAGTAGCTCTATAGCTCTCATTTGCCTAGACGCTGAGTTGCGCGAGGTATGTTCGCTCTTCCTTGGGCCATAGCCAAGTATATATTCTTTATATGGCGAGTGCTACTTTCATAAAACAGTTGGCATCGGAAAGAGTGAATGACGATGACCTATATTCGTTCGGGTTCCACATTGTCATAGGCCACACAATTTTATTTATTTTTTTTTTGTGCGCCTTCTTTTCTGTCTTTCTAGGTTCTTCTTTTAATCAGATTTTCGTTGCAAAATTGAGAGTTAATGTAGATTGGACGCTGCGTGTCGCGTTTTCGGGGTTCCTGTTCACTTTTAATTATTTATTTTTTTTTAATGTTTTTTTTTAGGTGTGCTTCGCTTTTGTTTGTTGTTTCGTTTATCACGTAAGTTCTGCTGTAGCCTATTACTTGGGTTTTAGTTGTGAGCCTTCTTGTAGTATTTTATTGTATTATCTAGGTATCGGCGCACTCCATGTAAAGATGATAAAGCAATGTATAGTGACATGAGTGGTGGTTTAAAGTTAGGGTGAGAATGTGAGAAAAACAATGGAGATGATTTTGAAGAGACAAGCAGTGATTAAATGTTTGTTTTTGCTTTTATGAAACCCTAAAAGCTATCTCTGTTTGCCTGGAACAACCTAATTCTCCCTAAAGTCCCCACAAATCTATTTGTTTTTACAACAAATTTTGTTGAATTTAAAGATTTGTCTTTTTGAGAAATTTTTTTGCACCAGAATTATATCATGCTAGATGTTTTTTTTTTTTTTTTTTTTTTTTTTTAAAGAAGTTAATTTTGTGTTAATAAGTGGAAATAATAATAGTTAATATGTAATTTATATAATAATTAAGGTTCAAAGCAAAATATTTGCTAAATAAACTTCAAGGAAAGAGGCTAATGTTTGTTGGAGATTCACTACATCATCAGCAATGGCAATCTATGATCTGTTTAGTTCAGTCAGTTATTCCTCCACACAAGAAGAGCTTAATCAGCTATTCAGATTCTCTCACTGTCTTCAAAATTGAGGTATGTTTTTCTAATTCTCTAACAGTCTATTATTGATTAAAGAAATTAAAATTTTTAAGATGGATTTGATATGATCTAATAGTAAAAACTTATTTTAGAACAGTTTTTTTTTTTTTATTTTTTAATATATCTAAAACAGAGTTCAAAGCTGTTTTCCTTTTGAGATACAGCCATTTATGATGTTAGCTTCCCTGCCAAGTTGCTGGTATGCATAGGCCATAGCCAACTAAATCTTATAATGGCACCAAAAAACAGTGGCATGGAAAGAGTGAATGAATGGTGAACCTTTAAATCAGTGGGCCACATTGATCATTGGCCACACATTATTTTGTGCGCCCTTTCATTTCCTGTCTTCTACTCTTTTAATCAGATTCGTTGCAAATGAAATGGTAGAGGAGGCTGCGTGCGTTTCGGGGTCTGTTCACTAATATTAATTATTTTAATAGTTTTTAGATGTCTTAGCATTTGTTAGTTGTTCGATTATCCGTAAGCTGTTAGCTATTAACGTTTAGCCTTTTGTAGTTATTTTATTATCAGCTGTTTATCATAGAATGATAAAAAATTAATGACATTAGTTGTTAAATTAGTGAAATTAGGAAAAAAACAATGGATATGATTTAAAACAAATGCGTGATTAAATGTTTGTTTTGACTTTTTCGAAACCCTAAAAGCTATCTCTGTTGCCGAACAACCTTAATTCTCCCTAAAGCCCACAAATCTTTTTTCTTACAACAAATTGTTGATTGAAGATTTGTATATTTTGAAATTTTTTCCAGGATTATAATGCTACGATAGAATTTTATTGGGCACCATTTTTGGTTGAATCAAATTCAGACAGTTTAGCAAACAGGAATGGCAAATCAGACCGTATGATTATGGCTGAGTCAATCTCAAAACATGGAAATAACTGGAAGGACGTGGATTACCTTATATTTAACTCATACATTTGGTGGATGACCTCTATTTATACCAAAGTATTGTAAGTACACACCACTATTTGGTTTTTCATTTTTTTCTCATTTTCTAAAACTTTTCTTAACAGATCAAACATTAATTAAGCATGATCATGAGGTTGATTAATTATTTTTCTAATGGAGTTGATATGGAAAAGACGAGGACCGTTGGCTGATGCAGCAATGGAGTATGATGAAGTTGAGTTGCCAATAGCATATGAGAGAGTTTTGAGGACCTGGGCTAAATGGGTAGAAGAAAATGTTAATCCAAAGCAAACTTCTGTTTTCTTTAGCAGCATGTCTCCTACTCATATCAAGTACAACAATCTAAGCTTTCTTTTATTTTTCACTTCTTTTTGGAGCAAAATGCATAGATTTGGCCCTTGAAATTTACTCGATTTGTTTTATAGCACTTTCAAGTTCGTGAGGACTTATTATGACAATACACTTTCACATTTTAGTAATAAATGTGCCTCTTCTCAAAATAAAATGTAAAAGTGCAGGGTTATGATTGAACTCTTGCAAAATTATTTCATTTGAGTAAGGGGCATAGTTATTATTGAAACGTACCATTTTGACAAGAGATATAGTTATTATTGAAATGTGAAAGTGTACGGTCATTATAGGTTCTTTGCAAATTTGATGATGCCACAAGGCAAATCACATAAACTTTAAGAGCAAATTTATGCATTATACCCTTATTTTTACAATATTTGAGAATTGACAATGTAAGTAAAATTACAATGTTTAGGAGCTTGGATTGGGACAATCCTGATGGGATCAAATGTGCAAAGGAGACTACTCCAATTTTAAACAGGACCAAGCCATTGGAAGTAGGCACCAATCATCAGCTTTTTAATATTGCAGTTAATGTAACACAATCCATGAAAATTCCTGTCTACTTTCTCAACATAACCTCATTATCCGAATACCGGAAGGATGCACATACCTCTATTTACACTGCGGTTGATGGGAAGTTACTCCTGCCGGAGCAAAAGTCCGATCCGGCCAAATATGCTGATTGTCTACATTGGTGTCTTCCAGGGTTACCTGATACATGGAATGAATTGCTCTATACTCGGATTGTTTCTTTTTCTTGAGTTATAAGTTTTGTTTTAATTTTAATTTTGTTTGCTAATTGAATTTTTCAATTTGGACATGTTATAAAAGTTTCAATAAGGTATAGAAAAGTAAATGGAAAAGGTGTAAGAAGAATTTGAGGCTTGACATTTTTTAGTATAGAACTGGTTTTTCTCATATTTCAAATGATGTCAACTGTCTAAATTTCAATTAAAGAGAATACTTTTGATTTAGGATTAAGTATAACTAACAATATGTTAAAAGCTTTGTAGCAGTTGAAGCAAGTGACCAAATTCTTCACTTTGCTAGTCATCTTGCAATTTTATAATGTATTGGAAAACTAAAATTTTTTAGGTCCACTCAATTTTATAGTATTAAACAACAATTTGACTTAGCTTTTTGGTTATAAATCAATTATATAATTGTCTTACTAACTACAATTAACTATATAAGTATATATATTATCTGGGTTTATGATGCAATGGAAGCTGACTGAGAATGATACTTCCCTCCCCATACTCAACATGAAGAATTTTGGCAGTAATTACCAGAAATTCCATTCCTTTCTAACTTTAGTGGTTTTGGCAATTTTCTTGATTTCTTCCCTTGTATGCACTTTCTTTAATGAAAATGTTAAGTTCATTGCATTCAAATATTTTTCAACACCTAAACTCCAAGAAATGGTCCAAGAAATCTCAGTGATTCAAGAAACCCACAAGAAAGGCCATGATCATCAAGAAACTGTATTGCCTCTAGAAGGCTGTGATATTTTTACAGGAGAGTGGGTTTTGGATAAAAAGACACATCCCTTATATAAAGAAGATGAATGTGAGTTTCTTTCTGAATGGGTGACCTGTTTAAAGAATGGAAGGGAAGATTCTTTATATCAGAACTGGAGATGGCAACCCAAAGAATGTTCTTTGCCCAAGTAAGTAGTAGCTAAATGTATTATTCTTCAAGTATTTGATTTATTGTAGGTTTAATTAGTTGAGTTTTTTGTATTAATTAAGGTTTGAGGCAAAATTGTTGCTAGAGAAACTTAAAGGAAAGAGGCTTATGTTTGTTGGAGACTCTATACATTATAATCAGTGGCAGTCTTTGATTTGTATGGTTCAATCTGCCATTCCAATAGGGAAGAAGAGCTTAGACTATTCAAACTATACTACTGTCTTCAAAATTGAGGTATGTCTATATCCTTCTATTCTTCATATTTGTATTTATATAACTCAGTAATGGAGAGTTTGTATTTATATTACCGAATACAATAAAAACTAGCGTTTAGCATTTTAACTGACCACTTAAAAAGTTATTTTCGAATACAACCTTAATTTATAAGGGAAGCAAATCTTTAATACACAATGTGGATTGATTTTACATATATTTGATTTTTATAGGACTACAATGCCACTATAGAGTATTACTGGGCACCATTTCTAGTTGAGTCCAATTCAGACCCTCCAACAATGAGAGATGGCAAATCAGACTCGGTAATAAAGGTTGAATCAATAACCAAACATGGAAATAACTGGAAAAATGTGCACTATCTAATCTTTAACACTTACACCTGGTGGCTAAAATATCCGACCATCAAAGCATTGTAAGTTTCTATATATCTATACTTTTCTGTTCTTCCTTTATAAGGTATGTTGGTCATAATGTTTACTCTTTAATTTCTTATGATTTATGAAAAAGACGAGGATCGTTTGATGAAGGGGCCATAGAGTATGATGAGATCCAACGGCATATAGCGTATGAGAAAGTTTTGAGGACATGGGCCAAGTGGGTAGAGGAAAATGTTGATCCTAATCATACCTCTGTTTTTTTCAGCAGCATGTTTCCTCAACATCTCAGGTATGTATAAAATAAAGACAAGACCAATGCCCAATATTTGTATCTCACACTAATATCGATATAAATCTTAAAAGAACACTTAAAAGTTCACCAAATAATAAATAAATTATACATATATAAGATCGTCTAACTACCTAAACTAATAGTTCAGTGCTCGAGTATCTATCTGACAGTTTCTTAAAATATAAAATAATTTGTGTGCAAATGTCGTCTACAGGAGCTCAGACTGGAAAAACCCAGATGGAATTAATTGTTTTGAGGAGACTATGCCAATTCTAAACATTTCAACGCCAGTGGATGTGAGCACAGACAAACAAGTTTTTGCAATTGCTAGAAATGTGATTGAATCGATGAAGATACCAATTCACTTCCTCAATATAACAACCCTATCAGAGTATAGAAAAGATGCACATACTTCTATTTACACTTCTCATGGTGGTAAATTACTTTCACCTGAACAAAAGTCCAACCCTGCAATTTATGCAGATTGTCTTCATTGGTGTCTTCCTGGATTGCCTGATACTTGGAATGAGTTGCTTTACGCAGACATTATAAAACAATCTTGAGTTAATCCAATATATAACTTTTCTTTTTCTTTGAGTATTAAGAAGGGAGATTTTTAGATTAGCAAAACTCGAACCTTGACGATCATTTCTTAGGTAAATGATAGTGTAATTATAGGTTATTCTTCAATTATTATGAACTTATGTCTTTATATTTCTTTATGCAATTTAGTAAAAATGAAGAAGATTAATCTTGAAGAGGAAAATTTGCTGTGATTTGTGAAAAGATAATAAACTGAATAATTACAAAATGAGCAGGAGAATAACATCAAGTACACACAAAACTCATAAGTTTCTCTTTCAAATTTTTGATAGCAATATGTAAATGGAAGCACCAAAATTAATCACAGAACTCTCTCAAATGGTGCCTATCTCCTATAAGGACATAAAGTTGGTTTCTTTGCTTCACAGTGAAGCATGTAAACCCATCTTAGAATGCAGAGAACAGATCAATTATGAGGGCAATGGGACAATAGGGCACTTACCCCCACTAGCCCTTCCAGCAATTACGCTTTCTAGGATTGCTCTTTTGTTCTCATCCTTATGGTGATTGAGCCGTTTGTCATCCCGACCAATATACTGTCATCGTGAATTTAATATATTCAACGAACATGTTAATATATTCTCTAATAGTTTTTCATTGGAAACAGAAATTTTGTTTGCAGAATAGATTTAGAAAAAAAGCTTGTAGTTTTATGCCGATGTATCCATAAGCCAAGAACAAGACAAAAGTCACAGGATCATCATTACCATTCTTCACCTAATATCGATGCATCTGAAATCTTATAATCTCTTCCAAAGCACAAATGATAAAGTCTCTCAAATTAATTCCATTTGTTTGGCTTGTAAGAAATCAAGAAAATTCCACAAAGCCAAGTTCATGACAAGAATTGAAAACGAAAGGAATTTGAATTCGTAGTATGAGAGAAACGTTATTAGACAGACAGAAGGGGAATTTGATTCTCGCTGGTGATTAAAAGAATTCTTGGACTGTAACGGTACTTTTTCCACTGCTCATTTTAAATTCTTGAATTTTATAATGCTGTGGTTACATTTTCTTTCGTTTGAATGTTGCTATTGCTAACTCTAGCCTAATTAGAAATTACGCATTGCACTTAGAGAAAATGAATTCTTTCTCATAGTGATGATTCTTAATTACCATTTTGGTCTATTTTGCTTGTATATTAAAATGAATTCTGCTGTGTTTTTGCATAGAAAAGTCGGGTGTTACCTCCTAGCTATTAATTCCTGTTATCTTTTTGGCTTATCTGCAACAATCCCATATTACCTTTTTTTGCATGTTTTTGCACGTTAGTACTGGTTATAGCTACTCGTTTTATTTATTTATTTATTTATTTATTTTTAAATATGGTTGATCGGTTTTGTTTTTAATATAATAAAAATAATAATAAGTTGTTGAGAAAAATAATAAATATATTAGGTGCTTTTTATTTAATATTTTACTATAAAAATTATAATATGTATGTAAACACAACAAATAAATATTATAAATAATAATTGAAATGGAATGCAAAAACAAATTTTATGGAAAAATAAAAATAATAAAAACTCTAGCAAAATAATACCCCTAAGATTAAGAAGTAAATTGTTAACGAGAAAAAATTTGACGTAGCATAATAATAATCTTACCATATTTAAAATTACTTAAAGATATTATATTTTTACCATATCTAATAAATACTTAATATAGTATAAATATAATTTCTTAATTTATCTAATAGAATTTAGATTTAAATTACTATATTTAATATATACCTTATATAATATAATTTCTTAATTTATCCACTACAATTTAGATTTAAATAGAAAATATTATAATCAATCAAAATTAAACTACTATTATTTTTTAATTAATAAAATCAAAATCTTTAATGATATCTTTATCGATTTATAAATTTAGTTGGGACATTTTTAAAGATTTTAATGTTTCCTTTATTTTCCATTTTTCTTTTTGGAAGGGAATCATTAATGACAATTGTGGTTTTATTGACACAAAACGAGAGTTACAATTATCTTATACATAATTGAATAATGATATTGAAATTTTGTAATAATAGGTTGATGACAGCCAAATTAATCTTTTAGCGTTGATTAATCCAAACCCAAATAAATTCACGTCTACATTTTCATCTATCGGATTCTAACCTCTTAACCTATTCACCTCTACTCTTTTAGTGTCACAAATCCACATCTACAATTTCACCTCATGGGTTTTAACATCTTTCCCGATTCATATCTACTCTTTTTATTTATAATCGAATCGAATGACTCGATAATAAAAAATATATATATATACAAATTACACGCTGACTCACCAAAACTTTACTAACGCTCATTGACTAATTAATTTCAGGCTCTTTAGAAAGATTAGTTCATGATTTGCATGTCCCTACTTTGATTTCAAAGCATGAAGATGTTAATAATATCCCAAAATTAGTGGCAAAGAATCCGTATTTCTTAAAAAGTTTACTAAATGCAATATTCTGGCTTTCAGACAACTTTCTTTGACCAAACAAATAAAAATAAAATAAGAACAATATAGGCATGCAAGTTTTTGATGATTCTTTTTTGTTTGGTTCTTCAAATTTCCTGTAATTGAACGATTGCTTAGTGGTCAAGTCTTCATTTTATAATCTACAAGTCTCTTTAAGAATTTCCCTTGTTCTGGATAAAAAGGTCTCCCATATAACAGTGCACTATATCGAAGGATTGATCCATCCTTCTCTTAACAGTACAAATGAAGCTTCAAGTTGGTCCAACCCAGAAAAGCAATTTCTTTCCAATTTCAGTTGTGGTGGCAATTCTGTTTATATCGTTAAAACCTAGTCACCAGGAAATTGTACCAGAAGCCTGTGATATTTTCACAGGAAAGTGGGTTCTGGATAACAAGACACACCCTTTGTACACAGAAGGTGAATGTGGTGAGTTCTTGTCTCAGTGGTCAGCTTGTCAGAACAATGGAAGGCCTGATTCACTGTACCTGAATTGGAGATGGCAGCCTAGAGATTGTTCTTTGCCTAAGTAAGTAAATAAATATGGTTAAGTACTTTAAAAATTGTCATATAAGTTTTTGTTTGTGATCTAAATTATTTAATCATAAATATTCTTGAATCTTGGGTTAAGGTTTAAGGCAAAAAGGTTGCTGAAAAAACTCAAAGGAAAGAAGCTTATGTTTGTTGGAGACTCTATACATATTAATCAGTGGCAATCTTTGGTTTGTTTGGTTCAATCTGCTATTTCACCAAGCAAGAAAAGAGTGGATTACTCTGGCTACCCCCAAGTCTTCAAAATTAAGGTCTTTCTCTTCCTTTCTAGATTTGATCATTCATATTAATTAGCCATGTCTCAATTTCATAAATCTTTTCAATTTCAGTATATGATCACTGAAAATTTAATAATTTATCATAAAACAATTCACTCAAGATAACTTGAAGCGAACTAGACATCATACTGGTGATCGCAGGATCGAGTTAAGGGGTCAATATCTTGAGTCTGAAAGGAATTAGTCTCTCGTAATTAAATGCTAAGAAAATTTATTGTTACATATGTGAATAATTTTCAGAAGTACAATGCTACTATAGAATTTTACTGGGCGCCATATCTAGTTGAGTCCAATGTAGACCCTCCAGATAAGAGGGATGGCAAAACTGTGGGTGTAATAATGCCTGACGCAATCGCAAAGCACGCAAATCACTGGAGAGAAGCTGACCATCTAATTTTCGACTCATATGCTTGGTGGACTAAGCATCCCACTGTCAGAGTATTGTAAGTTTTATCCTTTAATTATGTTTAGCCTCAAGTTTATATATATTTTCTAATCTTATGTTAAAACAAAACTTGTATTTTTCTTTCTTGAAAAGGCAAGGATCGTTTGAAAAAGGGGACACAAGGTATATTGAGATAGAACGACATATAATATTTGAAAGAGTTTTAAGAATTTGGGCTAAATGGATGGAGGAAAATATTGATCCCAAACGCACCTCTATCTTCTTTAACACTGCTTCTCCTATCCATTCCAGGTACGAGATCGTCTCCTATGCATTATTTACAACTATGAAATTGAAAAGAAAATACAGTTTTTAATATATCGATTAGATTTAGAGACTATTAACTTCTAGAGGTGATGCATATAAGACGAACAATACTCCCAAATTGCTTTTACCAAAAATTCAAATGGTGAACTATGACAGCCTGAGGAAACTCTCGTGGAAGCCCGCAGCTCTAAGAGTGTTAAAGAGCGGCGCTGATTTCGTGAGCTCAACTTGAAAAAAATTTGATTGAATCGAATTTGAGCATAATGATATTCAGCTTAAAAGCTCGTCGAACTTTATCGAGCTTAAAAAATTTTTAATTGAGCTCGAGCATCAAGTCGAGCTTGTGAGCTCGAGTTTTCATCTAGCCGAGTTCAAGTTTACAATTTCCAGGCCAGATTGAGTTTCGAACTAAGCTAAATTTTATCGAGCCAAGCTTCGAGCCTGACAGGTTCGAGCTCGGCTCAGCTCATTTGCACCGCTATCTATAGCGATACGATTAACGTGCAAATTGTTTATCTGACTCGGCTATAGAGGCGAAAGGCTAATCCAACCATCTAAAAGCTGGTTCCATCTGAAGTCTCCCTCGGGATAGCTAGGCATTTTTTGAGAAGCAGTTTCAACTTTTATGTCAAACAGACTATAATGTATAGATATCGATGATATTAACAAGCTGAGTGCAAATGATACAGGAGCTCAGACTGGAACAATCCAAATGGTGTTAATTGTGCTGGTGAGACATTACCAATTCTAAACACTTCCATGGCATTAGATTTGGGAACAGACAGGAAAATTTCCGCAATTGCTGCGAATGTGATTGGATCGATGAAAATACCAGTTCATTTCCTTAACATAACAACCCTATCAGAGTACAGGAAAGATGCTCATCCTTCATTTTACAATACAAATGGTCCAAAGCAAAAGGCAAATCCAGCTGAGTTTGCAGATTGTCTTCACTGGTGTGTTCCAGGATTGCCTGATACCTGGAATGAGTTGCTCCATGCACATATAATAGGACATTCTTGAGTCTTCACCGTAAAAGACATTGGAAATTCCATGCAACTAGAAAAAAGTAATATTTCTAAATTATTTCTAAAGCCATTGAGTCTGTCTATTGTTTTCAACTTTAAATCTACGTTGGAGTTGGGGAATTTATGTAAGAAGAGCTTTCCTTTCATATCAACAAATATAAGTTTATAATAAAAAATGAATGATAGTTATTTTATTTCATAGAAGGGATATTTTATTTTTATGCTTGATTTTATTTAAACTTTAAATCTTGAATAAAAAAAAAAATGAGATATAAAAGAAAATAATTAATAGATCCTGACATATATAATTAAGGAACTAAAATTATAGTGGAATAAGAAGATGAATTGAAATGACAATTCAATAGAAATGAAATAATTATTTTAATAAACATTTCAAATCCTTTTTATTAAGTGTTTTGTTTTTGTTAGATTGTCGTTTCAACTCCTTCCCTTTATATTATTTCACTATTATATTACCAAATTGATAAGAGTGTTTGACTTAATTTTTTGTTAATATTTTTTTTTTCTTTTTCAGGTTAGAAATGCATGTCGAGAAATGCCTAGTAATGAAATGAATGAATGAATTGAATAAAACACGAAAAGAACACGTGGCAATAGTTGATAGATGCATATGCCAAGTTATGTGAAATCTCACGTTATATTAAATGATGAAATATCTTACGTTATAAAAGAATTATATTCGATTGGAGGAGAAGACTGAGTAGAGAATTTGATTGAGTCAAAGGTTGTCTTGATAGCCCTTTTTTTTAACTATAAAGCAACGGTATAAACAACCACACACAAAAACTTTAGGATGAATACAAATTTAAGGCTAGTCAATTAAACAAATTAGCTCATGATTTCCATGCTTCTTTTTGGAATATATTATGGAGAAATATAAGATTATTGGTCTAAAAATGCACCCACATGTTCACATGCATCAATTTTATTTGTTATTACATTTTTATTTACTAACTCCATACTAAATATTTATCACATATAAAATTTTATGTCCCTTTAGAAAAACCATTAAATTCATCTAAATTACAATATTATTGAATAAATTGACCATATTACCCTTAATTTAATATATTCAAACACTAATTTTTAAGGAATTGAAACAATTGAAACATAGTATTTTCTCAAAACACGACAAACATTTAAAAACGGTAGTATTTCTTTCTTTGGATGCATTTATTTTTCTAATGACAACCTATTAGTAGTGAGTACCAACCAGAAGCTTTCAATTCAGAAGTCTTAACAATTCAAGAAACTCCTAAGGATAATAGTATTAACAATAAAGATCAAGAAAGCCAAGCAGAAGTTGCTAAAGAAAATAAAGATCAAGAAAATAGCATAGAAGGAAAGGAGATGCTATTGTTAGTTGTAAAAGGAAATGAAAACAGAAGTAATATTGTAGGAGTAGAGAAAACAGAAGCTTGTGATGTTTTTACAGGAGATTGGGTTTTGGATAACAAAACACATCCTTTGTATAAAGAAGATGAATGTGAGTTTCTATCAGAATGGGCAACCTGTTTAAGAAATGGAAGGCAAGATTCTTTATATCAGAATTGGAGATGGCAACCCAAAGATTGTTCTAGACCTAGTTAAATTAATTAGCTGCTACCAAAATTGCAGAGAATAATTTAATACACTTATTTGACAGACCTCATCAGCCAACTTGAGAAGAAAACAATAACTTATCTATCTCATCAATCGCATTTATGTGAGTAGTAGGGAATAATAACCGCAAAAATGGAACTGAAGATGATGACAAGATCTTCGGCTTAAGTTTCTCCATTGCCATCTGGATCACAGATGGAGCTGGTACTCCAAACCATTGAAGATACCATGAATGAATTACTGAATCCTTCTCTCCTTGTGTTTCATCATCGGGCCATCTTGCTGAATTCAAATAGTTGTACAAATAATTTTTCGATTGCTCCGACAATTTTAAGAGCTCTTCTACCTGCTTCCGAAGAGACCCAAGAAAGATAGATTGAACAACACCACCTCTTGAAGTGGTCAAGCTTCCTTTCAGAAGAGCCTCGTTGTAGGTTAGCGCAAGCTGCAAACATAGTATAAGATAATTGAAGCTTATCTCCAAGACCAGACATACTGATGCTTGAACTGGTTTGACAATGGCCTTAACATATATGGGACATTTCTATCACCAGCTTAAACTTTATTGAGCCTACTGCAGACTTCATGTTTTTTTTTTTATCTCCCCTAACGTTTACAGAGGGAAGAAGATTGGATCTGAGTCTTTTTCTGTGCTGCTAGGTATATTTTGTTAACATAATTTAGATTAGGCCTGCATATGAAGGATTATGATGCCATCACCTCATAAAGCATATGATTTTTTTTTTTTTTTTTTTTTTTGACAGACCCGTCATCCGCAACTTGAAGAAGAAAACAATTAAACTTTATCTATTCTCCACAATCATCGGCATTTTATGTGAGTAAGTTATAAGAGGAATAATTAACCGCAAAAATGGGGAACTAGAATAATTTGATGACAAGATCTTCGGTTATAGTTTTCTCCCATTGCCATACTGGATCACAGATGAAGCTTGGGGTACTGTCCATAACCATTGAAGGATAACCATGAATGAAATTACTGAATCCTTCTCTCGCTGTTTTTCACTCATCGGCGCCAATCTTGCTGATTCAGATAGTTGTAAACAAAATTAAATAATTTTTTTCGAATTATGCTTCTGCCGACAATTTTAAGAGCTCTCTATACCTGCTGCTTTCCGAATGAGTACGCGACCCAAGAAAGATAGAATGAACAACACGCTCGTTCCACCTCTTGAAAGTGGGTCCAAGCCTTATCCTTTCCAGAAAGAGCCTCCTGTTGTAGTTAGCGCAGCTCAAACAATAGTAATATTTTAGATAAATTGAAGCTTTTAAATCTCCAAGACCAGACATAACTGATGGATTGAACTCTGGTTTGAATGGCTAACATATATGGGACACTTTCTATCCAACCAGCTTAAACTTTATTGAGCACACTACTGCAACTTTCATGTTTTTTTTTTTATTATCTCCCCTAGGCAGACAGTTTACAGAGGGAAGAAGATTTTTTGGAATCTGAGGTCTTTTTTCTCTGTTGCTGCTAGGTATATTTTGTTTTTGTTAACAATAATTTAGATTAGGGACCTGCATATGGAAGGAATTAATGAATCCATCCACCCTCAATAAAGCAAATATGAAGATTTTTTTTTTTTTTTTTTTACAACCCTGCTACCTCATTAAAAATTTTTTTTTTTTTTTTTTTTTTACACCTGCTACCTTAAAATGTTTTTTGGTGGATAATACGTTCCCATCAAGGAAAGTTGAAGACAATTTGAAACAACCAAATAAATTTATTTTTAAGCTCTGATGTATTATACTCATCCAAGTTCATTTAAGTTTCTCATATAGCAGGACTAACCCTATAATAATCTGTTCTATGCACACTTCATGTATTTTCAGTTAAAACAATATTGGTTAACCTAATTCCTGATGCTACACATGTGGTCAGGAAACCACTTCTTCTATGCTCATATCCCTTCATTTGCTTTCAAGATTCAGGTAATTATAAAAGGAACAGAGTTTTTGTTGCTAATCACAAGTTAGCTAATAGAGCAACTGGGCGGTAGCAAACCTAGAAGGAATCCTTTCAGTTCAATCAATAGGGTACAGTACAAGGAAAAAGAGAAATTACCTTCAAACTAGAAATAGCAAGAGAGTCTCTGAAAACAAAAGTACCATTTGTAACTTGGTCAACCATGGATCCAATAGTAGTATATAACGACAAATAGACCTGCAAAATATTTAGAAACATTAAAACTGACTGCAACAAGAAATGCCATCAACTTCACAATGCAGTATATGACCTATAATGAAAAAATAGAAGATCCATTTCATGTTAGATAATTTGGTCAAAAAAATCACATATATTGACAGCAGGAGAGTCTAGACTTGCATAATTACCTGTAAAAGAGCCGGTCTGTCTTTGCTAATGCATTCATATAATACTTGCAAGCAGAATTCCTGGAAATCAGCATCGGATCTGCAAATAATTGGATAATATATTATTAATGTTAAACCCAGCTCTAAAGAAAAGACATGACATCACACTTTGCACGGAAGACAATTGCTTATGCATTGCGTAATCAATATTATTCGGCGTGTAAGATACATAACTTTCATCCATATTTTAACTCTAAAATAATTAACATTTAGCACATATGAAAGGTATTAATGATGATTAAAATCTAATGTAATATCTAAAGAACATGTCATAGGAGGTCTTGTCCTTGAGATATTCTAGACTCTTAACAGTGTCAGATTACAATCAAACAATACTAGCACCCTCTTGATGCCTAGAGAAACTAAAAACCAGAATAAAGTGTTTGTCCAAGGTCCCAGAAAGTTAAACATAAACACAACAATAACCAGCTAACCTTCATAATCTTCCCGTCCATTTTCTGCTATTTATGTAAAATAAAAATAACCTTAAGATTTTTCCTAACCTTACATTCATTGTTTAGACTACCATATGTTCTTTGATAACTTATTTATCATCCCAATATAAGCATCTAAAATTATCACAATGTTCATTCTCCAGCCTTTATGACACCTCAGGTTTGATATCCAACCACAAGCAGGATTTCAGTGCTCCGAGGCTCAAGAGTGATTAAGCTGAAGATCAAAGATAGATGAAAGCAGCATTAAAATGAAAAGGAATATCAGTAGACTCACCTGCTATTCCAAGAAGGATCACAACAGAGTTGTGCAAAGGCAATTAAGCTAGGATCAGAAGAGAAGGTACTGACCAACTGATCGACTGAAACAGAGTCCGACCCACTTTTGCCACAAGGATTGCACGGTTTTGTACTCATCAAACCAAAAACCTGATCAAGAAAAAATTGACATATTCTCCATAAAGAAGGCATGGATCAAGCAAAGGGTTAATTAGTTGTAAAGTGCAGCACAACAATTACCTTGTGCATTGCTCGTGACAGCAGTGATTGGCGCCCTATGGGATCATCCACATATGAACAAGCTCCAACCTTTCGTTTGATATAGAGAACACCAGAATTAAATGGGTTGTTCTTGTCCCCAAAACTCCACCAAGGTTTATCTGCCAATGAAATAACAGAGAATTATTTTTAAAATCTAAAATATAATATACAATGAAATAAATGATACAGCAGCATCCTCCAACCTTCAGGGACAAGCTCCATCACTTGAGGCCAATACCGAGGGCCACAAACGCGTACCCTCTTCAACTGCAACCAGCATATTAAATAATCCATCAGCCTAAAACTGCTAACATAAAGATTTGATACTAACATATGACAAGTTTCAGAAAAAATATCCTGCATGAATATATCATTTGTTTCTCTAAAAAAAAGAAGCTCCAGTTCAGAGAGAGACAGATTATATTTAAAAATTTTTTAAAGAGCTATATTTGGATCTTTGAACTTACAGCAGCACGTTCAGGCAAAATACAAGGGGTAACTTCACAAAAACTTGTTTCTGCATAATGTTCAGTTTCCTTAATAGTAACTTCAAGAGGGGCGTAAACAGGTAGACCACTGTCAACATCAACCGTTTGAATCCAGCGAGCCTCTGTCGCAAGGACATACAAATGCCTAAATGCCTGAAAAATTCACCTTCATAAGCATATAAATCCTTTGACAACATAAAAGGAACAGGGATACAAGCTTTCCATTAACGAAATTTTTGTTTTAAATTAATTTAGACAGACATTTCAATTTTTATAATTTACAGAAGTACAATGAGTTAAATTTGGCAAAACAGTCCCAATAACATAATAAAAGTTAATGAGCGTTCTGGGAACATCAAAACTAATAGAAACTTTTCAAGCGATATATATATATATTTCTGAGAGGTGCCCCATTAGGTCAGAATTTTCATGTACCTGAAGGTGACACCGGTTATCATTTGGTCCAGTAGGCAATCTTGGGTAAAGAGTAATTAGTAAAGAAGCAATAGAACTATTGCTCATTGAAAATGTCTGCTTTCCTCCCCCAAGAAATAAGAAACCAATGGCCAAGCTTACCTAGAATCCAGGAAGAATAAAAAATATCATAAAGATTAATATGCAAAAATTGTTTAACTGAATCTGTTAAAAAAGAATAAAATGAAAATGGAATCATTCATAATTTATCTGATCAATGCCAACGAATCAGATCAATCTTCTGGGCAATAATGACCTAGAAGGCAAGATCCCAAATTTCATTATGCATTATACTTTTTGAAGTAATGGTGCTTCTACATATGTTTTGCTTCTTCATGACAAATTGAAAATTAAGGCTGCACAAGAAACTTACAGGTGCAAAGCCAAACCTACTTAAAGATTCTCAGTTGCATTGCACGAACTATTAGGAGTGTTTGGAAAATCCAAATATCTTAGCTTAAAGATTTGGACCAAAAAAAATGCACTTATGATTCCATACATCTGATCAACAGAGTAAAATACATAATACAATACCCTAGATCATGCTATTTTATCATCAGACACAAGATCTTAAGCTTTTGCGATGCTTCAGAAGATAATGTATATTCAACAAATTAAGCTTCGTTTAGGAAGTAGAAAATTTCATTACGAATTAAACAGATACTTACTGCCATTTGAATACCATAATTTGCATGACCATCTGCAGAGTTACGGCTGCGAAGAAATCTTAGTAACCGGAATGTTTGCAGATGTCCAGAACCAGCCATAACCTGCGTATCCCATGACACCACCATAACAGACTTGAGTGTCTTTCCAAATCGTACAAAGAAATAAAGGTAGCACTATTAATATTCAACTTCCACATACCACGGACAAGGAAAGAACAATGAGGTGAAGGCATATTTCCAACGTGCCCCGATCAACATAGCGAGACAATCCCTTGGGAAAAGTACTTCCACTTGAAGCAGAAACAGGCTTGATCTGCAAAAATTTGAATAAATAATTTACCATAAAAAAAACTGAGAAAATAATTGAGCACCATCACACATGCTGAATGTAGAACCTCGTTTAGAAAATAAATAGCATATTCATAAAGTAATTCCTGCACGTTTCCATCTTTTGTTCCAGCAAACCTCAAACCTGCCCATGGTAAAAGATAATAATGTTGAGAATCAAATACATGGGAAAGAAACAGGAAGATGGACATGCCTCAGGAAATAATGATACAAATGCAATAAAGCAAGTAAACATAAAAGATTTAGTTAACCAAATGTATGTTCATGAACAATGAATATAGCAGAAAGAATAAATCAAATAATTGCATGTGTTCCCAGAATTTCAGTTTCTTTTTCTTTCACGTGTAAATACATCTAGCAAACATGGATAGCTCAACTCAACAAAACTGACAGTACATAGACTCTTTTGGAACAGATCCATCTTTCTGAAGATAGTTCTCCCTTTGCTAAGTTGCACGATGAAATGGTAAAAACATAAGAAAGTTTAGTCAGATAGAAGAAAAACAATCAAATGTCAAGACATTAAAAATTTCTCTAGTAAAAACTACATGATCTGTTCACAAGATTCTAGGATTAACACACATCATTTCCATGTCTGAAAAAACATTTCAATAGAATTGTCTCCAAAATTACAAAACAGAACTAGAAATGAGCTTATCCTTTCTCACTTGATATTCTGACTCTACCTAATCACCATAGAGGAACCTCATGTTCAAATATTACTTCCATGTCATGAAAGTCCAGGCCAAGAACATAAAAAATTCCAAAGAGTACCAGGTTTGGTTGATAAGAAGTACTAGACATACTAGACAAGGAGAATGGCCACAAAGAAAAGTAGATGACACTTAATCATCACTTAAAAGTACCAATTAATGGAATAAATATCTCGGGAATCAAAGACAATTATATACCTAGAGAAATACATGCTCCAGCCACTACATTAACATATGCCTGGACAAAGGTTTCTGCATCCATTTCATCAACATCACTAATATCATCTCTGAGGCCTTCAACACCACTTTTGACAATTTCAGGAATCTGTGACAGAATCCAGTCTTTGGAGGGGTGCACCCTGGAATAAACAGCAGAACAAAATGGAATCAAAGCCCAGCCATATAGAGCAAAATCTAATGAATGGACTAACTCAATAGCAAGAACTACCTGCTCCACATTATCAAATTCCGAGCAATGACTCGAAGCATTATGAAGTCAGGCCTCACATATTGCAAATCAAAATGAGTCTGAGGAATAGAAAGCCGTGATACAATAGGCTCTGATTCAGTCTGTTATACAAGGGAAATTTTAAAATCTTAATAGAGGCCTTCGGAAATTTCTAGGAAATCTGTAAATAAAGCTTAGTGTTTAAGACTAGTCATGTAGTAGCTGCAAGAAAATTTGCTTAACATCAAACAATAAAATACCTTCAAAAACATTAGAGCAAGAGCAATTATAGCTCCAGGTGCCGTAACATCAACATTGACTGCAGTTCCATCCATCATCTACAACTCATGAGGGGAAAGTTGAAACAGTGTCATGACAATCTTATCAGGTAAAAAACACAAGACTTTCAAAACTGGATATTTCGAACACAATGCTACTGTTATGGAAAGATTTCCAAGGCAAAGCAGCAGATACAACCTGCCCAACACCACGATTGTGTTCATCAATAGATGGTGTCAAGAAAAGCGGTCTTTCCTGCTCAAGAGAAAAAAGATGAGTGATTCAGAGAAATCAAACAAACTCAACCCAGAGTTTCTGAAACCCAAATTGCTATCACATTTTAAGATTCATCACATTAGAGCACAAATAGTATTGATCTTTGAGAGAGAATTTAGCAGCACACATTATGAATTTCCTTGCCACCAATATAGTGGAACAATCGATCAACCAAACTGTCCATGAAACCAAGTGCATCTTCCCCTCGACCTGAATAAGCAGCACAATTAACAAAATAGTTAAAGAAGAACAAGAGTTCTCAATTTTTAAAACAGTTCCAGTATCAATCCACTCATACCCAATGCAACAAGACCCAATGCAAAGCCTGCAGAAACAGCATAGCCCTCCCTCTCAAGAACATTGTCACCTCCACTTCTACGTCCCATTTCACCCTGAAAATTTAATTTGCATAAGGATAATCTAATGAATCAACTATAAACCATCAACTTCAAAATGTTTACCAAAAGTCAGAACATATGAAATCCCAGAACACATAACATGGAGTGAACTATGACACCATGAAGAATCTAAAAATGCAATCTGGAAAAGCACTTTGTAATACCACACATGTAAAATTATATGGAAGTTTACATCAACGAATAACGTACAAAAATCATCACCATTAAAAAGTTTACCGTATGATGGCACTTGGACTGGCAACGTATTACATAGAAAGGAGCAAGCTATATATATATATATATGAGAAACACATTTCAGTGGTAGAATCATTTATTGGTTTGCAATGAAAAACAGTCACTTATCAAGACACTAAGCTAAGAACATATGACAAAAACATGCAACAAACTTGAACCTAAAGTCTATTGCAAGTTTACATTCAGTATAGAAATTAATAAATCAAATTCAGCAAAGACCAACAAAGATACTTATGAGGAACAACCATTAGCCAAAAAGAAAAGTCAGCTTGAAAAAGCCTCAATAAACTACAGGAGTAAACAGGGAATGATGATTTTCTGCTCTTCAGCAATTATATATGAATCAGACAAACATCACGCTCATTTCCCAGCACAACAAACGTAAAGTGACATTTCTGTACCATATCAAGTGGGAAGGAAAAGGACTCGAGAGATATAAATCATATCAACTATAAAGGCAACAAGAGAGGAAAATACCAAAAGGATTTGCATTGTTTGTGGGTGCACTGATCCTTCATAAAGAAGCCCAACTGACACTAATGCTGCTGACTGGAAAAACAAAATAAGACAGCAAAAGGTGATCTCAATAACTAATATTTTCCTTTCTCCACAGATAAAGTAATTGTTTACTTCAGAAATAATGCTAACACAACATGAATTAGCAACTATGATAAATATAATAAGTCAATGAATATATTTTTAAGGCTCATAAAGCTGCAAGCAAATGATTCATGTAAAAGCAGTGTGATGTTGAAGGTCGAATCAGTGTGGTTTAGTGAGCTATGCTGGATGAAGGAAAAACTAAGTGGGGAATCATCATATATTAAATTACATATCAGCTGCTGCATCAACGTGTCTTAAAGGTGAGTTTTAGCAAATAATCAAACTTCAGTATTCTGACACAAGAAACAAAGATATACACGTGTGTGCAAGCAACTCAATGATACATACCTGCAGAATGGTTGGTAGTTCCAACTCTGGAAACGAAGAAGAATGTCGAGCAGGTATATGTACATAAAGTGACTGCCACAAAGAGTAGTTAGTTATGTGAATCAAAATGTATGGACGAGAATAAAAATTTGCAAAATCCTCCAAAACGGAAAAAGACTAGAAAGATTCAGCAAACCAATAGCAAAGTTTGTTGCAGAAGAAGAAGAATCGGTGACCATATGATTCTACCTTAGATATTGCTGGTTGCATTGTCCCCCTATAAGAAGCAGCCAGGCCAAGCATTAAGCCTACAGTTGTGCTCTCGTGTTCCTATTGAAATGAAGAGTCAATAAAGCAGGAGATACTCAGAACAAAAAAACAAGGAAATGGATGATACAGAAAAGAAGATAAAAGAAAAAGGTTACTATGGGGAATGAATGTTAATATTGTTCTTTGATATGACAGCGAAACACCAAATACTAATTACATAAGAATCCTGGGAATGAAGACGAATGAAAGGAAGAATATATGCATAGAAAAAGAAGAAGAAAAGAAGAGTAACAAAGAGAAGGTGGTTGGGGGTGGGGGGGTTCCAACCTGTGTGAAGTAGGTGTATATGTCGGTAATAATCAAAACACGTAGATATCCATGTAATCCTAGAGCAAGAAGAAGCCCAGCATGAATAACATTTGGTTCCTCAGGTTTGTTATATATAATCCATGTTCTTGATACTTTTCCCTGCACATAAAAGAGTAACGGATATAACATAAGATTTACAAATTGCTATTTTGCATGGTGAATAGGACACATAAGGGAAAAAAATGAACATAAATCTCAGACAGGGAACACTGAAAAAAAAAAAAAGCTAAACTTCGCTTGGTAACCCAATTTACTGAGGCAATCATGCAACTATTGGACAATCAAAGAATATGGAGCAAGATACTTGCCTGCAACATAATTTGTGAAAAGATAGAATATTGCATGATATGCCAAAATCATCCCAGGTAACCACTAACCAGTAACATGATCTAACCTGAAGGGGGGCCAGCCTTAGCCCAGCAGCCACAGCATTGTGAAACTCTGGCCAAGATTTAAGCTCTTGTATATTCCTTATACTGGGGTCCAAATTAACCTATCAAAAGAAACAGGATGAAACAAATGCCTAAAATACATAAAAGTTGAAGATCTGTGCAAATGATGCAAAGGAGGAAAGAAAAAAGAAGATGACAATGAAAAGCAAACGATACAAACAGACTATTAGACCAATGTCGTGATAGACAATAACAGCATGTTTCCACAAAACCATAAAAACACTGGAATTTTCAGTTCAAACACAATAATTTTCTAGAAGACGAAAAATTCGAAATCTACACTAACACAGGAAAACATCTAGAACTTGTTTTAAACAACTTATTGTTTTCTATTTTTTGCCATTGAAATATTACACATTTGTTTATCACAACACCATCCACTCTTCCATTTGGTACCACCATCACAACCACACCACCAGAATCGACGACACCATCACCAACACCATAGGTGCCATCTAGCAGCACTCGGCACCACCAATGCAACCAAATCATTGCTACGAGAACTACTATCTTACCACCAATATCACCCACTGCAGTAATGTCACTGTTACCATCACTCACTTAACAGTGCTGCCACCACTGTCCACAAACACCATCACCTTCGCTTTACACTACCACGCCATTGTAGCTATCAGCAACTCTGCAGCACACCACCAGCTTCTCACCATAGACGGCACCACCATATTTTAAAGCAAGCAAATTAATCAACCGAATGTTTACACCTTGAAATGTAATCTCTATAACATTGTAATAAAACATATTGATTAATAAGTACTAAGAAGTAACCAAGAAAAAGCAACAACAAAAATGAAAAGAAAAACAATAAAATGAAAATTGGATAAACAAAAAAAATAAATAAATAAATAAATAAATTGTTTTGTGCCAACAAACAGGCCCTAATCATATCTACAAAAAAACTTTGAGCAGCAAATATTACGATGCAAAACTGAATTCAAATAATTTTGAATTGACAAAAATCCAGAGAATATAGCACTACCAAATGTTATCTAATCAAATATTCATCAAAAGTAATGAAACAACACCATCGTAATAAAGTGGAAATTGTAAAGGCATGCTCATAACATGACCAAAAATATCAACATGAAGATAAAAAAAGTCTCAAGGATACTGCTAGAACTCGGCATGCAGGTATGTAACAAAAGAAAGAAAAGAACCTAACATGAACATACAGTTGCATTTTGTTGGGCAGGCAACCGACCTGCTAGAACAAGTTTTGGTACAGTGAAGGCCTACAAAAGAAAATAAATAAACAAAATTCAATAAGAAAGAAAAATGTGCATCTTGAATATATCAATTTAAAATGAGGGCATTAGTAGAAACAAATCGGAAAGGAATACCTCTGTTAAGAGAGTAGATATTGTTGCCAAAGTAAATGCCCCACGGCCCAGAGGAAGAGCAGTAGTCCTTTGTGCTAGTTGCCACAATTGAGCCTTTGCAAGTGAGAATAAAAAATAAAACAAACTAATAATTAGATGAAACCACCACTAATAACCAACGAACCATAAGTAAAACAATGATAAACTATCCATTTATACATTTTGGGCCTCCCGTTCAAAAGATATTATGAAAAAGTCCATCCTTAGGTTTTTACAATTACATCAAAAGTTTACAAGCACAAGACAATAGGCTAAACCCTCTAAGTTCTCTGGGCCAAACTCAAAATGCAAAAGAAATTCACGGTAAACATTTGAATGCACTGTTTATGAGCACTGAAGTTTAACCACTTTGCTCTTTGAAAATAGCATATAGGTTATACAGCATTTAGCATGTCTAAAAGACACTTGGACATGTTTTTGGAGCAAAAGGATACTAGCATTTAATATTTCAGTTGGTTTAAATAATGTTAAAAGCTAGTACACAGAAACAAATATTAGTAACACAATCAAATAGGACCCAAGCAAAGTGTACCTGTTGGATATCCTGATCCGAGGTACTGGGATTAACAGATGTTTGGATAGCCACCGGTCTTGCAGAACACATAATGCGTCTAACCTAGTAGAAGGCAAAGTAGCCAGTAAAAACACAAAAATGACTGAAATTTATAGCACGGTCAGTGGATTGAGTCCCTTTTGAGAAAAACTGGTAAGTACCCACCAGCACTAACCACATAGAAGACATAGAAAAGTTAAATACCAGCCATTATGCAATTTAACTTTCTAACATGTAAAACATACCTCAAGATGAATTTCAATCGTATGGCCTAAATTCTACCAAAAATTCACGGGTGTTCATAACATTTAATCATAAACTAGTTGCCAAACATTAAAATTGAATCATTGAATTTGAAGTGTTGATGATCAATGGAAAAGGACCCAAGCAGACCTCATTCAATCGCAGATCTCGACCATACTGCAAATGAGTGCTAGAGCTGAAGATGTGTTCCATACCATCCATCATAGAGCCATCAACAGAATCAGTATCCTCAAACTTGGAACTTTCCACTCCAGTTGTATCAGAAACAGCAGAAGGAATTGTCACTGGATGCAAATGTAGCATGTATGGGGCAGACATGGATATTAAATTCACATTGGATTGGGTTTCAACTTCTTTTGATTTTCGGGGATGTGTCAAACGCGACAAAGCCAGGTCTTCTCGACCAAGAAGAACATATGCAGCAGCAGGCCAGTCAGTTGGAGGAGATTCCCGGCACTTATCTAACACCTATGAAGAACTGAAACAATAATTACAGACAGATAAAATAATACAACTATAAATGAATAGGAAGAGTCATGAAGGTGGCAAATCCTAAAATTGAAAGAGCCAACAATATTATCAAAGATAAATCCTTTTATAGGTTCTACATGCCAAGAAACTAAGTTTTGCAGAGCTCAATTAAGTAATTAGGTCTTACCGTTATCATTTAAAAACAACATTTCTAAGAGCATATTTTTCACAGTTTGAAAAAGATAACATATATTACCAATTGTTAAAATTTGATCATTGTTAAATTTAGTCATTAGTCTAGTCTAGTCAATCCTACTGTTATATGGTTAATTCACTTCTATGTTAGTTAATAGTAAGTATTTTTCTCATTGGCTTGGAACAAGGAAGTTTACTTACTGGATTATGATAATTCAATAAGACTAGGATTTAATTTTAACTATAAAATTTAAGAAAGATATGATATGGAGAGACTTCTGAAAATATAGAATCTAAAGGAAAAAGAATCTCTTTGCAGGTTTTTCATCTTCCTAATGATAAGGCTGAACTATAATCTTCTTCTAGGCAAGATTCCTGGGACAGCCATAAGTCCATGGCAGTCGCTACACTCTTCTTGTCTTTGTTTTCCACTTCTCTTTCTTTTCAACCTTTGTTTTTTTTTTTTTTTTTTTTTTCCTATCCTTCTAGGCAAGATTACCCTGGGACAAGCCATAGAGTCCATGCCAGCGTCGCTACACATCCTTTCTTCAGTCTTTGTTTTCCACTTCATAATTTCTTTCAACCTTTGTTTTTTTTTTTTTTTTTTTTTTTGGATTAAAAATTGATAAGATATTGACACACATGGTAAAGCACGAGAAGAGAGAAGCACAAGAAACCAAAGATAAGAAAAACATGGACCAAGAAAAGAATCTTGATGCAACAAATCAGCAGTGAACTCATTGACAATTTCAGGCAACACAGATACAAAAAGTGGCAAGAAGGAAATGAAGATGGACACCAAACCCTCATAGCAAGAGATCTATTATTACAGTAAACCTGACTGGAAAAATTATAGATAAACCTCAACTACACGCCTAAAGTCTAAGAGACAGTAAGTTTCTTGCAACCATCGCTCTCACTCAGAATACATATCACTCGCATAACGCTGACAAATGTTGAAATAATAGGATTTTTCAAACCCCCCTCCCCCCCTCTCTTTTCCTTAGACACAAAACCACCAGAAAGCAAAGTTGCAGAGTACCCTTTTTTTTTTTTTTTTTTTTTTGGATTTAAAAATGATAATTGACACACATGTACAAGAAGAGGAGAAGACAAGAACAAAGATAAGAAAGAAAACATGGACAAGAAGAATCTTATGAACAAATCAGCAGTGAACTAATTGCAATTTCAGGCACACAAGATAAAAAAAGTGCAAAGAAGGAAAATGAAATGATCAAACCTCATAGCAAGATCTATTATTAACAGTAAACTACTGAAAAATTAGATAAACTCACTACCTAAAGTTAAGAGAACAGTCAATTTCTCACCATGTTTCACCAGAAAAACCTAACTACAAATGTTGAAATAATAGGCATTTTCAAAACCCCCCTCCCCCCTCTCTTTCCTTAGACACAAAACCACCACAAGCAGTTGCAGAGTCCCAGATTCATTCCCATTTAGAGTTTCTCACATGCTGTAAAACAACATTAGGCCAACTTACATGTCGCAAAGGAAGTGATACACCAGAAGGCAGTGAGTCAAATTGTTGCAGTCCAAATCTTTCCCCAACCATTGCCAAGACTGTGAGCTCCTCACTATTGCAATATGATCCCATAGCAACATTACAGGAAACACCAGAAGGTAGCTTCTTCCCTGTCCGGTTACCACCACATAATAAACTGTAGAAAGAAACTATCTTCCGTGCCCAGCTCACAACAGAACTTCCATCTTTATATATCAAAGTTGGGAGATCATTTGTATTAGCTGCAATACAACCGAGTTGCAAACAGTTTTCAAGCCATCTGAATATACTTGGTGGAGTTTTTTTGGAAAAAGCTTTTGCACATTTCCCAATTTTCTTAAAAAGAACAGGAAAATCACGAGTATAATGATCTAAATAATTCTCCTGGCCAAGAAACTTGGCAATGTTGCATAGTAGAACTGCCAGAAGCTCCAAGTCCCTACAAGTAAAAGTTTCCAACTTATCATGCCAAAGTATTTAGGAATAACACAAATACATTTTACATAACATTTAGCAATTTATTCAGGAAACTATAAAAAACTGTTAGCGACCCAAAATTGCATATTGAGCAGTAAACCAGGAAACAATTTAAACTTCATGTGGTGCACTTCATAAAAAGCAAATTTTGGTCCTAATACCTTAACATAGAGGTCTATCTTCAAGTTCCTACTTCATTAAATTTAGCGTGCGTTTTATGGTTTGAAAACTTCAGATGGTATAAGTCAAAGAAAAGGTTGACCACACATAATATATTATTGCACATTTTAGCTCATATAAATTCGAATAGCATTCAACTTGCCCAAAATATATAAGTTTAACTTCCAACCAATTCTTAAAGCCAAGAAACTGCATGCCACTTGATTTTCAATTTATCAAACAAGACAAATGTTTAAAAGAAAAAAATATATAATGGAAGGAATTGGGAAGGGATATCAAGAAATAAGGACTAGTTAGAGCAAAAATAATATGAAACAAAAATAATAAAAAATAGACTTACCGTTTGCGAAGTTTATCCAGTTTCAGACTTTCATATAGTGCATGCAGAGAATCCAAACTCTCCTCTAACAGCTCAGAGCAAAATGATTCTTCTACACTTTGTTTACCTTTCATATTAGGACCAGAAGAATCCATTTGCCCTGCATCAAGTGAGGTTCCAGAAGAAATTCCAGTAATGAAGTTAAGTTTTGGGTAACTCTTGTGAAATTTACTGTTAAGAAGGAGTTCCCAGGATGAAAGAGGTAGTGCATTCAAATGCTTCTGAGAAACTGCACTGGACTTTCTACACATTCCAAGTATAACATCACAGAACGAGTCCCATTCAGAATCAACACTAGAATCAGGCCTTGACAAATAGTCGGACTTAGTATCCCCCCAAAGAAGAACAAGGAAATGATTATAAAATCTGGAACTAAGACCCTCAGCCAATGCTGTGATGCAATCATTCACCAATGAAGATGAAGGACCTCTTCGTAAGACACATCGAAACATCTGAAGAAAACAATAGAAAATAGTCTGGTACCACAAGATAACTGAAAGAAAAAGCAACTTTCTTGCAAAGAAAACAAATAACTATAAACTGACAGACTTGTGAATGTTTATTTAGAAACTAACGGAATCTCTCCACCTAAAATTGAGAGTTCATAAAAGCATTTAGCATGTTGTTTGTCATATTGTCTACACTCAGCCCAACCAAACCTGATATTTGACTATTAGCTATATGGGATGGATCCATAAATCATTTCCATCCAATCTGCCCTGCATAGGGCCAAAACATAAGTAACTAAAGTCGTAAAATAATAAGCTAAAATATGAAATAAAATTATCCAATGAATGAACAGAAAAGGCAACAAGTCAAAAGAAGTGCAGATCAACCTCACTTAATTAACCTCAAACAAACAACAATGGTGAAAGAAATATTCTAATGAATATACAAGTTCTTAAACAGCAAAACCTTCTTAGATATATGAATTAGTATTACCTGTCCATTATTTGTTATTAGATTCACACGCCCCTCAACAGCATCAGCCAATCCTAAAATCTTTAAGTCATAGGGAATAGATGCAGTCTCTGAGAACTCTGAATTATGCAAAAGGGTGCCTTTGCGCAAACAAGAGGGCAACAAATACTTGCACAGGCATTGCTTCCCAGACTGCAATACCACATGTATATCAATTGAACATTCATAGCCAGATCATATAAAGAAAAGTTCAAAAGCAGCTTAGCAAACATATGTTCAGTCCAAAGAAAAAATGCTGTTAAGTATTGCTACATAAAAATGCTATATTCTGCAGAACAGACTGTGCAGAAAACTGCCAGCAAAACCTATGTTTGCTTTCTGTTGCAAAGAAAACAAGATTTTGCTAAAGAGCAGTACACATGGCAAGCAAAACAAAAATTGAGAGATAATTATGATATCTACTGTCTCGTATCTGTCATTAGTACACATGGAAAACATCTTTAGTTTTGTGGATACAAGTCATAATTGAAACAGTTGCGATTGGCTACATTGGTTTGTTTTTATCAGGGAGCATTCTTATGCAAATATGCTACCTCTGCATTGCTACCTTAGTAAGATCATGAGGAAGTAGACAGACATCATCGCACATGACACTAGTTCAGTTTTAAATAAATGAAGCATATCCTCATTACTACCTCCATTAATTTCTAGATTTTCAATTAGGTAGAAAGAAAGGAAAGAAGGCAGAGAGTGAGGGAGAGAGATTATCAAAGCAGTAATTGGCTAGAACAAGAAATGATGCCAGCTCACAACCAAATACAACAACTTTTCAGCATATATTAGAGAAATTCAAAACAGATATAGGACAGATTTGCACAAGTAATGGAAACAAGATAATATCAGTACAGACATTAGTACTGGAATATGAAGTATCAAAAAGAAAAATAAAAGATCAACACCTCTTGCCAGAGAAATTAAATTATAGATAAAGAACATCGAAAGCGAGAGCCTAACAACACCCAATATAAGCTGTCATAGATGTAAGTAGAACTCAAATGAAAGCTAAACAAAATTATTAACAAAGTGAAAAAAAGAGAGAGAGAAAATTAGGCATGCAGCTTACATAAAGAAGAAGTGTGTTTTCTGGAGCCAAAACAATGATGTCTGTATATGGCAGCAATCCCACTTTCACTCTGAGAAGGAAAGAAATGAAGCTCCATAAGTGAATAACTAATCAAGATAAAACAGCTAAATGGAAGGAAACAAAGGAAAAAAAAAGTTAGAAAAACAAAAGTAGCTCTACCTTGGACGAGTTACTACCACTGGTGCTGCTGCAATTGCAGGTATGCTCCAGCTCATGTCAGGTTTAACATCAAAGATGATTTCATTATTAATTTCAATACTTTGAAGCCTTACTGACAACAGCTTCTTCTGTTCTTGAAGAAGAAAACAGATAACAGGAGCTGCATCATCATCAGTTGCCAGAAAAACCTGGTAAACATGGAAAAGAAGAAATTGCATCACTACACGTCACTAACTACTTAAAAAGCCAATAGTGGAACCAATATGAAATTAATATTCCAAATGCAGATAGGATGCACTTAAAATGGAAAAGAGCATGGTGATCAAAAAAGATAGGATCAGAATTGAACTTATCAAGTTTTTGGAAGAGCAAACCACGGTGAGCAAAATAACATGAAACAAAATTTTATGTTTCAAGACAGAAAACAAGAGGCTAAAGAAAGTTAAAAATATGAAAATTCCAACCACGGCAGTACAAAATGGCTTTTTTACTTTTCTCAGGGATGGAAGCTATGGGCCAAATTCTAAGAAATGTAAAAACGCCAAATGATAGATAACAGGCACCTTACAAGCAGCTGTCTGTGCACCCTTTCCTTGCCATATTCTGCGAAAGGAGAATAGTTTAGCTAATACACCATCAGGAACCACATCAGCATTAGTTGCCACTTCAAGATTGGAATTGATGATTTCAGCAACCCACACTGAATGCTGCATCTTTCCTGTGTAAAATGTGACAAGATCATAGTCATACAATATAATGCAGGAAAAGAGATAATAAGGGACCACTGTGAAAAAAATGGAGTAATCTTGTGGAATGCAACATGAGATACCTTTATTATATGTTGCCATTAGAGGAATTTGATCGCTGGTCCAAATTGTTCTTTCATCAAAATCCTTCATTATGTTAAATTTTCCTCTCTCTTCAATATACATTGACTGACAAATTCAAGCAACATAGATTGCATAAATGAGAGAAAATAACTTAAAAACTATAAAAACCAGAATGCAAGAAAACATACATACCTGTGGTTCTTCCAACAGATCCTTCAGAATCAGATGCGAAGACAGGGTAACTGTGTCCGCTCTCATCAAATAATCAAATGTTCCCAAAACAGCGGCATTGTGTTGTGGAGTGTGCCCAATTTCTCTTCTAGGACGAGATATATCACGAGCACCAAACAAAGGACTTGTGGATAAAGAAGTAGATTGTGTCAATGAGCTCCCTTCAGCTGCTGGCTGGAGTAGCAAACCAAATGGAAGAGGCCATATTGATGCAATGGTATGGGGGAGGGGAATGGATACTACTTCACCTGGTTAAATAAAGAAATATCACAGAAATGAATTAAGTTCAATCCACATATAAAATAGATACTAATGCTAAAAATTGGCCTAGGTTCATGGGAAAAACAATATTTTGTTGGCACTAATGCACATAGGTTTAAACCAACCAATATACTGGAGTAAAAACATATAAGCTACTTTCATTAGATATGACATCTATATTCTGGCTAACAGTTTGGTGGTACCCAAAAGACGATAGTACAGAACCAACCAATGTAAGATATCATATAAAAATATTAATTGGATATAATCATATAATCATATAATCAGATTGTTTTCCCACTATACAAATTTTTCTGCATTACTCTTGAAATTGGGAAGGCAATGTGACATCAAGTGTATTTTTTTTCACACCGGTATCCCTAAAATGCAAACTTCAAAAACTGCTAAGTAGCAAGAGTGCACTTTACCAAAATAAGTATTTCAGCAAAAGCAAGTCTCATAGAAAGGAACATTTCTTCATTGCATTACTAAATTATGACAGAACAAATCCCGTCATGCTTACCGGATATATTGTATATTGTAAGTGAATCAATTTGCAAGATACAAAGCAAAGCCTCAGACATATCACCCAGACGACACCAGCATGCCTATAACATAGATAATTAGATATAGTGGTTGTCAATATCCAATACCATCAAAGCAAGATTATTAAGTATAAACTACTTGCAATTAATACAACATTCATAGCTGCAACAAAGCAAGTCTGAAGTTTAAAAGAGGCAAAAAAAATATCAGTATGAGATAAATAACAAATGTATAGTCATTCCACTACTTCCCAAAAAAAAAAAAAAAAAAAATACAGTGCATTTACTAATTTATGACCGAGACAAAAGTCTGTCAGATGGTCGCGTACGGGCTTAATATAGTTTGTTATATTGGTACAGTTGAATCAATTTGCAGATACAAAGCAAAGCCTCAGACATATCCACCTGACGTCAGCACGACACCAGCAATGCCTATAACCACTAGATAAATTAGACATATACGGCAGGGTGGCATTAGTTATCCAGAAGGTACCATCCAAAGCAAGATAGTTAAGTAATAAAACTACTTGCAATTAATACATACATTCATTGAGCTGCAACAAAGCAAGGTCTGAAGTTTAAAAGAGGAAAAAAAAATATCAAGTATGAGATTAAATACAATGTAATAGTCAATAGTACAGGTCGCTCGTGACTTGCCAAAAAAAAAAAAAAAAAATAGAAAATCCCTGAACTTTCTATACCTGGATATGTATTAGAACAAGTCCCTAGAGTTCGATAAATACTGCGTGGAAAAAATTACGTTATAACTGGGGAGGGAGAGGTTAAAAACCTCTAAAACTTGCAGGAACCTATCGCTCCGACCATAGATCACCAGTCTTAGGGATGAGAACAGGAAAAATTATGAACTGTTAATGCGAGAGGATAGAGTGAGAGAGAAAAATGTTTAACAAATTTTAAAATTAAAAAAGAAATAATATTATATCTATAACCTACTTATTATACATATAGATTACATATAGGTGACTATAAATGATATAAACTATATGCACTATATATATTCACTTGGAATTAACACTCATGAAGATTGGCATTTGAGAAATCATTTTATTTAGAAAAATATTTGCTAAATTTGACTACATAGAATACAATTTAGTTTAATGTATAATAGCTAATATTATAGATGATCAAATTCCAATTGAAAATGTAGCCAGCACAATTTACCCTTACTAGGAACTAACAAACATGCCTAATTATTAGCTGTAAGTCTGTTCTTTTATATATTCACTTGATTACATCATGAGATTCAATTGGCATTATGAATCATTTTAAAATTAACCAATATAAATGAAAAATAATTGCTACATTTGACTAACATAGAATTACAATTTAGTTTAATAGACAACTAATTAGCTAATTATAGTCCAAAGTCCAATTCCAATTGAAAAATGTAGCAGCACAATTTACCTTACTAGACTACAAAACATGCAAATTTAACTAAGTCTGTTTTCAATTTAAAATATTAAAAAAAATAAACTAAATAAACAGTATCATCAAAATTTACTTGTTTCCTCTAACGAAGATCTCATTGTCGCATCGATCGCTCAGCGAAGCATCAGTTTCATCCATTTCCTCTTTGTCTCGGATAGTTTCAGGGTCGAAAAGGAAGTACTCGTACTTATCGGCGACATTATCAGGAGGCTTGCCGTCGAGAGCTTCGGCGATTAAGCCAAATGGTTTGAACTCACCAAGTACGGTGAGTTCGCGAAGCCTATAAGACATTTGGTTGAGTGAGTCAGCTCAGCAAGTGAAGGAAATAAAAGAGGTGTGAAGTGAGTGAGAGATTTTCCCTCACTCCCGCTCTTTTTTCTTCCTTTTAAGCAACTGTGATTTGTTTAAACCCTAGTGTTTGTATTGTTTGGTTCCCGGGAGTTGCATATTCTTGTTTGAGAATAGACTAGTACTGTACTGAACCGGTTCAGTATAGCTACATAAAAAATTGGCGAGGGTGCAAACTGCAAAGTATAAAGTTAGAAACTATGTCCGCAAACGCACGGCAAATAAAGAGAAATTCTTAGATAAATTCAATCTATTACGTTATTTATAGATTGGGCTAATCAATTAATATCATATTATTCCTTTTATTAAGCCATTTTATGTCAACAATTCTTAAATCATTCCAATTAGACTTTCTAATCTGTAATCAAACAGGAGATTATGAAACAAGTTGGAATTGACTTTCTCATCTATAACCATGTCGGCAATACTTGTCATATCCCAATTTTCTAACCTCCTATTTGGTTACAAATTAGAAAATACTGTACTAGTCTATTCTCAAACAAGAATATGCAACTCCCGGGAACCAAACAATACAAACACTAGGGTTGTAATTAACATATTGAAGAATTTATTATAAATTTTGAATTGAAGAATTTATTAATTTGATGGAAATTTTAAATAAATTTTCAATTCTTCAATTCAAATTAATAAATACTTTAGTACCTACATTAGGGTTGTAATTAATATATTGGAGAATTTATTAATTTGATGGAAATTTATTTTTCAAAAGTAGGTAATAAAGTTGTTAATTTCACAGAACTATTTCCCCTTGGGTGTTCTGAGTGGGATATCTACAGTGTAGAATATTAAGGGTTTGTTTGGATAAATGCAAAATAAAATTACATCCATCCAAATATTTGATGTGAGATTTGACAAGAAATCAGATACTTGTCAACTGGCCCACTCATTGACTATATTCTCCATATTACAGTTTGCTCACATAAATATATAAATCATCATTTTATTATTTATTGAATATTATTGCCATCAAAATTTATTCATTCATGTACCTTTAACAATTTACTCTTTCAATTAATGGTTTTCACTTGTCAATTTCAAATTTGTTTCAACAACTTAAGTTCGCATCCATATTGGGCTATCTTTACTTCTAAAAAATAATTTACATTTTAAAAATATTTTTTAAGAAATTTAAATAATTTATTTTTTGTTGTATGATTATAATATTGAAAATTAGTTAAAAATATTAAAAATTTTAACTCATAAAACCATAATAATGATAATAATATAAATTTCATATTTTAAAAATTTTTACTGTTAAATATAAGAATAATGCTAGAAAATGGTAATTATACAAGTAACCGGTCACCGGTGGTGGTGGCTGGTTGTGAATGATGAGTCGTGGTAATAAACACCGATGATTAATAAATTAAAAAATATAGATTTATAAAGTTATAATAAATTTGTCAAAATTTGAAAAATGTTTTACGCTCTTGAAAATGAGAAGTCATTTTCTTTAAAAATAACTTAATTTTCTATTGACGAGGAAAATATTTCTCGTTGACTTATTTTCTTAAACGTCTCCCAAATAATGGAAACTTGTGAAAAATATTTTACTACAAGCTATTTAAAAAAAAAAGGAGCCTAAATTAAAAAATGGGTTTGGAATCTTTTTTCATCTACAATATGTTTCATAATAATTGAATTTTTATAATATTCAATATTTTCATGTTCTTTTTTTAACGAAGGGATATCTTATAACATAACAGACAAGTAAGACTCAATTCATTTTCTTTAATTGCAGAAGGTATATGATTTTCAGATCCATTATTGTTGTTTTTTTTTTTTTTTAGTTGAAAATATTAAGGTTTTGATTAATCTTATATTGACTATCAATCTAACGCAACTCTCTTATTTTCTCAGGATTCGGACTTGATATATTTTATTAAGCTCAAATAAATAGATTTAGATATGAACAGAGTAAAATGCAGATTAAAATAATCAAGCTTAATTATTTTATAATTAAAACTTAATTATTAATACTTATATTAATTAAGATGCACTCTTCTTATTGAATATGATGCATTTAAGAGTATCATTCTTAATTGACACATATACACTTTACTTCTAATATTATAAAGGAAGAGGAAACTTATTTTTAATTTTCACATTAAAGATTATTCACTCATTAATTAACTCTAGTGCAAATGTAATAATAATAGTTATTATTAAACTAATTCTCTAATTAATTGCTTAATGATTGAATGGCACTCACAATTGAAACCCTAGCAAAGTAAAGTCTCTTTATGGAAAGCAAAAAGTGATCATATATTATATCATATGATATGCCACTACCTTATAAAGTAGGCTATCAACTACATATAATAGTTGGTGTGCTTGGCATGTGTCATCCCTAGATTTTCTCCTATATATACATATATTTAAAAACCAAAAATCAGCGTGTAAGCACGGCCGGCAATGATCCAGATTCGAATCTGCTTCCCAATGCTCGAAAGGAAAAAAAAAAAAAAAAAAAAAAATAGATAGACATGATATTGGTAAACAACCAAAAATCAGCGTGTAAGCACTGGCCGGCCAATGAGTCTCAGATTCGAATCTGCTTCCAAATGCTCGAAAGGAAAAAAAAAAAAAAAAAAAAAAGACTCTAAAAAAAAAAAAAAAAAAAAAAAAATCTATCATATACAAATAAAAGAAGCATAACTACACTATATAGAAGCTTGGCGATGTTAATTATGAGAAGGCAAAAAGAACCTTTGCCTCTTGCTTCTAATACGATAATTTGAAGGCATTGAAGATGAAGAAATTCTACTCAAAAAGACATTGAGTGCTTGTTTGATAGTACTAACTGAAACGACTTTACCTTCTTTATAATCTTTATTGCAAAGTAGTAACATGTTTTTAACTCTTCCACCTACACTTGCAATATCAGCTCTAACTATGCTGAGTTTAAGGCCTTTAAGCACCCGAATCAGCTCGGAGAAAACTTCTGGCCGATCCTCGCAACAAACAGAAGCTCTAATGAATATGTTCTTGTCCTTACTATTACCATCTGCAGATTCATCAATGTCTACAGTTACTTCATCAAATTCTGTTGGAATTGTAATATTTTTGCTTACTTCAGTTGCTTTTCCCTTTAAATCCTTAACATGATCAATCACACTTCCTAGTAAAGCTGCTTTGTCCATCTGCAAATCAAGAAATTAATTAAAGATCAAGAATTGGCGAAATCTTGTTGATGTTGACCTAATAGTAAAGAATTAGCAAGAAAAAAATTTGCATAACAATATCAAGAATAACTACAAGTTCAAGAACTAATACTCTTATAGATCAAGCAATAAGTTTCATCAATAGTTCTAGTCATCTCTAGATTTGTGAGGTTGCAAATTCGAACATGAGATTGGTAGTATCGAAATCATCTATACAGCTATGATGTTGTATATGAATTTGAACCGGTTCGAGCAAAATTGTGTTGAATTTCTCAATTATTATTCAAGCTCAAGTGAACCTTGATGCTTGTACTATTTATTATAAGCAACCAAGGATGGAATCTTCGAAAGATATGAAAAATAAAGAACAGTACCTTATCAGATTTAGGAATGAGTTTCCTGAGAATACTAAGCTGTGCATTAATCCGGTCTCTGCGCCTTTTTTCAGCTTGGCTATGACTTTTGGAAACAGAAGCAGCTTTTTCTTCTGCAGTTTCATGGATTTGTATAGAATTAGACCAAGAAGAAAATTCATGTCCAGTTTCTTGAATTGGTGTAGACCATGAAGAAGGAAATCCATTATTAACTTGAAAGGTGGTACTATCAGAAGCATTATGATCATATGGTAGTGGCCATGGAAGTAAAAGAGATTCACTGCTATAATTTGGTTCTGCACAAGGCAAAGTTGCAGGCCGACATGAAGAAGAAGAAGAGTAATGATTTTCCATAACAAAAAAAACAGTAATAAAAGAAGAAAAAACCTTTTTTTTCCCTCAAATCTTAAGTTACAAATTTTCTTGCTTTTTATCTCACAATCTAAAGAAACTGTTCTTGCATAATAATGTGTGACCTGCATCTCTTGAATTGGATTGGTGTGATGTGTAGCAAACTTGAATTTGTCAAATGAAAATCTTGTTTGGCCATATTCGGCTGTCACCTCAGTATATATACTTGAATTTACTTTGATAAGTTGAATTAATAGCTAATTACTCTGGTAAGCACTTGCTTATACTTTAATATAAACTTTACCTGCAAGATTAGGAATCTGAAACTTAAAAATTAAGACTTCACTTAAATATAAGACTTCACTTAAATATCATCCAGTTCGATGTCGGTAGAAGAAAATTAAGATCCAGATGTATTGATTTAGAAGAGTTCATTGTTATAATATGACAATGAAGCAAACTAAAAATTAACTAAAATGAACAAGGTTCTTAAAAGAAGATATTTGGAATAGGCTAATATAATTATTGAAGGTACATGGTGATCATAGATTGTGCTGATAGAAAAAGTTGATGTGGGAAATTAGTTTCTATTTTTCTTTTTTTTTCCCCTTTTATGATAATCCAAGAATTAATCATTAATACAAGGTTTTGGTGAGTGGAAAAGATTCTTCTGTTTATTTGACACTTATCTAGCACATCTTCTTTTTCATTCCCAATTCTTTCATAGACTAAGACAAGCAATTGAACCCAAAAAACCAGCTGGTCCATTGATTGTGCTAATGAGATGGGGCAATCAAAACAGAACTAAAAAGGGTTTTTCTTTTTCTTATAAATAATCATATTTCATTTGACTTGATCAGTACTATAATTAAAAGATTTTCATTTCAAGATGATCTCCAAAGACAAGAATCCATTCATATTGGTGGCTTTCTTTGTCCAATATATTCGAGAAATTACTCAATTTATCACTTTAGACTCACAAAATGAAATAAAATCATATCAACAAGTTGCTTTTTTTTTTGACGTATGTTTCCTGGCAAATGAATTGACAAGAAATAAGTTAAATAAAGCAAATTAAGTCTATCTAAGAATTTGTCGCTATCTTCAAAGTAAAAAATAAAAAATAAAAAGCGTCCTAAGTGTCCTGCACAAGCAAACAAGAGTCCTTCAATTACCATCACCAGTTGGTCACTGTGAAGGGCCCCTTAGACACACAAGCATTGTAACTCACCATAAAGAGGACGTAAAAGATTGATACGACCTTTGATCAACCACTCACTTCCCTCTTGCAATACATTTCTTTCTTCCTATCCATCCATCTCTCATGAATTTGTGTGGTGTCAATAATTCTTTCTTTACCATTCTATTAAGGCTCTAATTCTCTTTTTCTTTTCATTTTCTTTTAAATCATATTCGAGATACGAATCTTAAATTTTATTTTAGAAAATTTTGCATCATATGCGAAGATTCATCATTCTGTATTGATAGTACCGTGAATTTTCGTTAAAAAAGTAACATTAATTATGTTAATATCCATCTAATAGGAGATTTAACACTGTAATGAGTGATATTTAAAATCATTTTCCATAGTCAATAATTATAACAAAAATGTGCAAAATCTTTAGGTGCAATAATGGACCGAGTTGGCAGCAGCTCTATATAGGTTTGCGGCAAATGCATAAAAGCCACAAAAAATAAGTGATAAGCACAAAGAAGAATCAAAGATCATAGCAAGAGACATTCAAAATAAGAAGTTACTTCATAAATGTTCAAGCAAAACAGCAGACAGCTCGTGCTATAGTGTGGTAAAGGCGTGGGAAATAAGGTTCTGTATGGCCCCTTCTCTAGTCAGCAATTGCCCAACAAGAGGATGTGGGGTTTGAGTCATCCTTAATCTACTGCTGTCCAATCTCCACTTATTGAAGTGACAGAAAAAAAAAAAAAAAAAAAAAAGAAAACTCATATATGCATCAACAAGATATGTGGGTTCTGAGTCCATGCCTTTCAAATCTACTGCTGTCCCATCTCAACACTTTTGACGTGTGACAGAAAAAAAAAAAAAAAGAAAAAAGAGAATAGAAAGCTTTGAAGCAGGAATAATCCATCTAACGCGAGAAACTATTTGCTTCTCCGTCTACCACAAAAAAAAAAAAAAAAAAGAAAAGAAAAGAAAAGAAAGAGTCTGCAAGCAGATAATATATCAAGGAAATCTTGTTTGGCTACCACTTGGAAAAAATCCAGTTGAATTTCTACTCAAAGACACCAAGATAATGGTACAAAAAAAATGGATTAAGCAACATAATCACCAAACAAATTTAATACAGAAGTGAGACAATCTACAGAAGATCGACAAACGGGCAATGCCCATATGCATTTCTTTGATGTATATGTAAAGGTTGGCCAAACAATTTTTGTACATTCATATGTATGTAACTTGTCTATTAAACCTTAAAAATCCTACCAATTAATGTACCTGATGTAAAAACCAGTCTTGTTATGTTTGGCGGATGAATAAAAGAGGTAGCTCATTGATAAATGCAGAATCCTATTGAACTCCACCTTAGTATTCATTGAAATGGATTGCGCCAACTTTCCAAACAATGTAAGTTGTCGTGAACATAATTGTGCTGATGAGAACAAATGAAAGAGCAATGACAAAGAGATCATTGCCTCCGGGAAATTGGAAAGTCCAACCGTCCTTTGGTAAGCCTCGCTTGCTGTCGTCAAACAAGTCCATAGGAGCTTCTGGAAGGCCAGATCTCTTCTTCCCCTTGTCACTTTCCTTTAAAGCATCCAATACTTTGCTTCCCATTTCTGATTTTGTTGTCCTTGATTCTGTGTAACGGCTGAGAACTCGTGCAGCCTTTAGTCTCTCTCTTGCTGTTAGCGGTGATCTTTTGGGAACATTGGAAGAAACTGTGGAACCATTAGAAGGTCCGGATGTTTGAGTTCCTGACTCATTATCAACACTTTCAGCATTGTCAAGAGCCTCATCACTGGTGTCTGTAGCAAGGCGGTCACTGTCTGCAACTGAAAGACAAAAGCCTCCTCTTTTTTCCTTTATATGTACCCTTGAACCAATAATTCCTGAGGAAAATGTGAATTGTGTTGCCTTTGGTGTTGAAGCTCTAATTGAAGATCTTGACACATCCTTGTATTTGGCTGGCAACTTTAATCAAGAAACACTTCTGTTAATAATCATAATGTATGCCACTGTACATGTTTAAAACCGTTTGAATAGAAAATGTGTATTGATATTATAATTAGTGAACAACAAATAAGCAATAAGGACAAAAAAAAGTGTAAATTTTTCTCATTAAACTTCAAATATTTCAAATTCACTCAAACACAGTTGTTGAACTTCACGCACTTCAGTAATTGATAGAAAGAGATATTTTAACTATAAAAGATCAATACATTACTAAAACATTGCATATAGAAGTAAGAACAATTGCAACTTTTTGATGATTCCAAAGTTGCATACTTGGTAACACATACTTATCATGGCATATAATGATTCTTTCCTTCGAAGACAACTCCTTTTTAGCCAATATCAATACACTACACCTATAAAGATCATAAATCCCTTTTCATGACCACTTGATCTTAGCCAAAAAACAGGCTTGACAACCAATATCAATACACTACAGTGAGAGAATTTGAATTGATTTTACTAAAGCAGTATATTTCTAAATAACAAATGATTGCTGAAGACTATACTAAATTCAAGAACGGAGAAAGCCTCCGACTAGTACAAATTTTCTTTCCACTTGATGCAACCATACATGGAAAAGCAAACTCGACAATTGTCAAACTTTAAGAGGATAAAAGTTCAAACAAATACGCGAACATGGTTGGCCTCGTAATTTTGTAGTTCTGATGGTTGCAAAGGAGCAAGAGGTCGAGTAGACAGTTATTTCATGAATGAATCTAACATAATAAACTAACTATAATGGTTAGGAAAAAAGACAAAATGTGTGAATAAAGGAGAAAGTAATTTCCTAGATGAAACCTTGAACTTTTGACAGAGAGTTTCATCATGAGGAGAGAAACAATTTTTTTTTTCTGCAAAGTTCATTATTTCTTTCTCTAAAGTTGTATAAAAAGATTACAATTTGAATCAATTCCCAAAAACATTAACAAAAAGTAAACTGAGAAGGATTCAAGAATTGCAGCCAGTAAATCCATGAAAAATCAACATTGCTGTTTGAATCCTTGCCCTAGCATCCTTGCAGAATATCTAAGCAAACTATTTGAATATAAAATTTCATTTTGCAAAGCTAGAAAGGTTAACACAGGCAGTTTAAAAAAAAAAAAAGGAACATGTCCAACAAAGTATTGTTTTTCTGAATCAATATAGTTCATTATAAACATTCAAATTGCTTTGGCTTCCAAAATTATAAGCAATCATCTATGGTGAAAATGTTCAATTTCATAAGGCTTCTACCTCATAAGGCATTGCCCCATTAGGAGTCTAGCTCGTGTCTCAGTCCCATCTTGCTGTAAATATGCTTGAAAAAAGAACTAAATTGTGTAATCAAAAAGTAAAAAAGAGTACTTATATAAAATATATGATCTCTTGTTGAGTGGGTCATTAACCCAATAGACTAACAATCCTACTATAGTTTATAAACGGAATTTTCAACTTCTTTTTCAAAAATGTGACCTTTCCTACAACTAAAGCACTTTAACATAACAAAATTTTCACCCCATTTTTGAAACTCGAAACATTCCTTAAGACCTTGGTTAGCATACACAAATTTTTTTATGGATCTCATTTGAACTTCATGTTTTCATGTTTGATATAAATAAAAATGTTTGTTTCATTCTTACAAACTAAAATTTTGGAGTTAAACATAAGTAAAATCAAACATACCAAACACGAGACTAATTTGACAGTAATTAACTTAATAACCTACAAAATGAATAAACATCTAGCACTAGAAGTACCATCAAAACTAAAACTTCATACAAGGTAAGTGTAAATTCAGCTAAAAGCACAGGATATCAGTAATCAAAACGAGTCAAGAAAACTTAAATTGCAGTTAAAATAACAGAAGATAAGCCAAATAAGAAGTAAACTGAAAGGAAAAAGATGAGAAAAGCATTACCGTTGAGTTGAAGCCAACAATTGAATTGAGAGAAATTGCCATATCTGTGTTCTGTTTAAGACCTCACCATATATACTTTTGATGCAGAGGAGATTCTCAGCTGCTTGTATTTGTGGCAGTGAAGTGGATGAACCCTGCAACCAAATCAAAGAGATGAGCTACGCGCAGTTCCACTTTTCTTTTATAGCGCGTGTATCCCACTCTATCTTCCAAATTATGAAGTCCAAAATTTTTTTATTGGGTCGCACAAAGTATTATTATTATTATTATTATTTCCTTTTGAATAGAAGATTGCACAAAGAAAACTATATGAAAGATTTAAATATATTTACATCAATAGATTATTTTTAAAAGGTAAGACTTAAAAGAGTATGATGTTGTATTAATATATTTCAACACAACTTATGTAGAAGAATTTAAAAAATAACTACTTTATTTTGTATTTACGAAAAAGTAGTAATAATTTTTAAAAAATTTATTTACAAAATAGTAAACATGTTATGTATTTAATCAGGGGTAAGCATTTCAAACCACCTTGATCGAAAAAACTGAATTTGAAAAAATGCAGAAACCAAATTCAACTGAATAAGTATGGAGGATTTAATAGAAATAATTGGGTGAAATAATCAAACGGATCACCTTGTTTCAATTTTTTTATTTGAATCGAACCGAGCACTAATTCTGTTATTTCGATTTATTCAGTTTTTTGCATTCAGAAAAATCAAGAAAAATTGAAAACTGAAATTCAATTCTAATTCTGCTGACCCCTATCACATTTAATATGTAAGAACTAACTTCTACTTTACATATAATATATCAATTCTATTTTATGAACTCTTAAAACAAAGTAGTGAAATTTCTTCCCGGACCTAGAATTAGAATTGAAATTGAGACCGGAATTAAATCCTTGGCTATAGCTCGGGTTATAGAACCAAGATGTTGGTTTACTGGCCAGAATAACCCTTTAGATTCCGACCAGAATCGGTGGAACCAGAACCGGCAGCTCAATTCCGAATCTGGGTTGAGCTGGGAGCTCGAACACTTCAAGGTGGATTGACTATTGTTAAAACCACCCAAAAACTGTAACCTCCAAATGTGCTTCAGCTGCCACAGAAGCACCATAAGTTTTAGTACAAAATTTTTGAAAATTGTCACAAAAAATGTTTACATATGAAATCAAAATTATAAACCAACGGGGGAAAAAAAAAGTAAAACTAAAGCTCTCTGTTCTACAGTTAACAAATATGCTACATGAGTTGCTACAGCTAATCCATCATCTAGAACCATGGTTTAATACTGGTCGAATTGCAGCTTTGAAATCCTCGTAAAATCTTTGCTCGGAAAACCTGCTTGCTCGTCTCCTTGCTGCTGTAGCCATCATGAGTCTCTCAGTTTCAGGCATCCTTAACACTCTCAAGATGGCATCTGCATATTCTTCAACATTCTGGGCAAGAAATCCAGTTTGCTGCCCATCCTCTTCTAAAACAATGTCCATTTTTGGCCCAGCAGTATTATGGGCTGAAGAATTACAAGCATGATTAATTCACATATGCATTCATTTAATAGCAGAAAACAAAATATTGATATGTAATGAAAATCAATTAAATACCCACCAATTGGTATGGCGCCTGCAGCCATGTACTCTACAACACTAATGCCGAAATGTTCATCTGTCATGGAATGCATTCCTGCGATGGCACCTCCCAAAAGAGACACCAAATCCCTGCAAATAATGGAAGTCAAAAGTGAACGATGCTAATCTAATCAATAGTATTATCATGAGAATTCTTAGAAACACGCAATTCCTTAACAAAATGAATTCTCATATCAGGTTAATACCCAGTATCCTGGGTGCAACAGGAATATAATGCCAGTGTCAGGAACAATTCGTTTTCAACACATCTGGAAGAAAACTATAAATCATTTGATTGTTACTGCACACCAATGAAAGTATTTTAAACACGGGGCTTCCAAAATTGAAATCCATGATAAAGAAGGGTTTTGTTAAAACTCTCCTTTAGCATGTAAAGAACATGCAACAAACATATTGATGTAAACACAGAACAATGAGAAAATGCTGTTGACAATCTGCAGCCTCATGCATAAGCACCCATGTATTCCAGTGGATGAAGAATAGGAGATATAAAGCAAATAGACACTTGCGCACCACATTATATGCAAAGGAAGGTAAAATAGATCAACAAACTCATGCGGCTTTACCTGCTTCCACACGAAACGTACACTCCAAAATCCACATCACATCATTCCAACAGCTTCTCATTTTCCATTAAACAAAATTCAAATGCAATATGGATACTGAAATACATGAATGATAGAGCAGACACGCAGGGGAGAAGTCTGCTAATTTAGATATTTTTCATATTTGTCTTTAAATTCTGTCTATGACTAAGTTTCTATCAAAAGGATCCTGATTGTAAAGCAAGTACTATACAGACCTGTACATCACATTTTTATAGAACTGTACATCCCCATCAACCTTCAGTTCAATTGCTTTGTCCTGCAACTTTTGCAGTCTTTCTTCATCTGACTTGTTTCGACAACTACCCACAAACTGAAGCTTAGGTCTTGGCAAGTTAGCATCTAGCTTCCTAATGACTAGTGAAAAAGCTTCAAGTTGAAGTGGATGCGCCTGAGACATGAAAAAATAGCTATAAACGAATGATATAACAAACAAAGGCCCCCGAAATGAGCCACTAAAACAGTTGTACCTTGTGCTCATAAGGTTCACATAAGTATGCCCACCTTCTCAGGACGAAATTGAGCAACAGATATAAATATTGGAGTTTCTGCTGGTCTTTCTAAAGGAAGTGCCTGTTTTGGAATTAAACTTATTAGACTCAAAGTGCAATATTTTAGTGACATAAATGGAAGTAATGTCATGTAGAGTCAAAATATTGAAATCATCCAACCAATTTATATGATAGCATGAACAGTCACCACAAAAATACTATTGCATAATGGACAAATATGAATATGTTTCTGCACCTCACAAATTTCTCACAAATTTCTCATTATAATGCCTAGCCATTGATGTTTCAGACTAGAACACAATTATTTGAAGACATGTAATGAACAGGGACGTATCAAAAAGATTTGGTTTAGCAAAGGTTACATATACATATTCTCCACTAGAGTATAAATAATGTAATTACTGTATACAATTTCTCAGTGATCATAGTCTTAATTTTCTTTAATTTTAAATATATAGAAGGGAACTAATTACTAAAAAATTGAAGCAAAGACAATATTGAACTCTAACTTTTAACTGAAAGACAATCCTATTACTACCATTCTGTTAAAGCACTAATTACTTTTTCTTTTTTGTCAATTTTCAATACTATCAAAGATATTGCTTTTAATATAGACACCAATCATATTACTAATACATAAAAACGGCTTCAAGAACTACAGCTAAAAATATTGTGATAGACAGTGTGAAAATAAACAGAATAACCGAAAAAAAACTGAAAAAAAACTTAATACATACACAAAATTCATTAGTCTTTTTTAACGCTAAAGGTCAAAAATTAAATAAATAAGCTATATTTGTATAATGGATAGAAAATTAATGAGCTAATTAGTTTCAACTTTCAATTTAAATAATCACATAAATATATGTATACATAGTCATCAACAATAAATCTGTATGTGTAGATAAACTCAGATCATCAAGTGAAAATATAATTGAAGTAAATATTATTTTTTTCAGTATTGGCGGCAAGCTTAATAATTACCAAGGAAAAAAGTAATCTTAATCATAAAATTAAAAGTTATATCACAAAATTAAAAGTTATCTGTCCCTGGCAATGGACAAGTCCAACTATTTTCCAATACTTCACATGAATCATGACACCAGGGCTTTTGAAAGAATTCAAGAAAACCAGACAAGTGTCAAACAAAATATGCCAAACACATGATAGAAAAATAAATTGGTTGGTGCAATTGTGAATATCAGGATTGAAATCACAAGAATGCATGCCAGTCCAAGTGAAAGAGAGAGAGAGAGAGAACACTTGATGAAGCTATAGATAACTACCATATGGTTTCCAGATTGAAGAAACACTACATTACTCACCTGAAGCCCTGATGTATCACAAGGAGGATAGACTCGCTTGGTACGGTTTGGAATTTTCCAAAGCTTTTCAATGTGAGATTGTGTCCATGAAGAGTTCACCATTGCAAGATGTGCACAAGAGCCTACATATCCATACATCCAACTAAAGAATGTATAGTATATGATTTTACACCGTGATAGCCAACCGCTGCCACAAGAAAAAGCAGGCTTTAGACTATGTGCAAAATGTGGAAGCTGTCAAATCATATATCTAAAAGACTAGAATAGACCATGAAATGAATGTAAAATTAAAGGCTTATTCTATTTCATTGCAAAACAAATTCCGAAAAGGAATTCTCTTCTCCTTATCTTATTCTCATTTGGAAGCTTTTTTTTTCTTCTTTTTTCCATTGTTAAAAAAAATCTTAAGTCAAACAGACACCAGAAGTGTTGATCCTCCCCCAAATTGACTATGTTTTCACAACTTCCCCACAGAGAAGTCAAAGGTCAAAGTTGAGCAACCATCACCAGTGAAGACAAACGGGTGAACTGAATTTAAATAACCATTTGATAGAGTTAGACTACTCTATTAGTAGGTCAATATAGACTCAAATCACCAAAAAAAAACATCAACCCATCATCGTCCAAATTCTAACAAACATTATTGTCTAAGATGAGCAAAAAGGACTCTAACCTCTTGGCAATTGAAGCATCATTATTGTACATGGAGCTTCGATCACGAACACGAGAAATCATATCTAAACTGATAGTAGGATAATGAGTGTAACAAATAACTTTGCAACCAAAAATCCGGGCAATTGGATAAGTGAAAGCATAGCCGCTAGTATCAAAATAATACAAAGGAGTAAACTTGCATAAAGCTTCCCATGACAGATAGATTGAACCAAAGCTTTGACCAATCATGGTGAATCGAGGATAACTAGTTTCTTCCACCCATTTCCTTTTATACAGATGCACCACCTAAAGCAAGAGATTCATGATTTTTCATCAAACAAGAGAAAAGAAAAGCCAACGGTTATACGATTCATCCAAGGAGAGTGTTTTGGCCATACATAAATCTTAACAGATAAACTGTCCCAGGCATTTATGCGAATCAAACAAACACCAAAATGCAAACCCGAAAATTGAAATTTTCTAATTTTTTCTATTAAAATAAGCAAAACAGAAAGACAGTCATCGATCAAAATTAACAAATTTTAATTATTTCAAACAAACATTCAAGCTAAACAAAACCAATTAAGTGTATATGGTTACCATAGGTGGGTAAAGCAATTTGACACCAAAGCGATCAGTGGCGCGAGCCGCCAGTGACTGAGGGGACGCGTCGTGATCGCCAGTATAAATTACACAGTCAAGATCGGGATTTTCTTCTTGGATTGCCTTAACGGCGCACCAGAGGACTCTTTCTCCACCTCCGCCATCGTTTGTGAAGGGATGGAAGAAGCCAACAGCTCGCTTTCTATTCCTTCTGGTATTGATTATCTGAGAACTGAAGGTTAAGAGTAAGGTTAATATAGCAGTGAATAGCGGAATTATGAGAATAAAAATCCAATTTTCCATTCTTATCAATGTGGAGAGACGAGAGAGATCAATCACGGAGATATCGAGAGCTAAGCCGGTATATAGGGACCTAACGACTTTGGTTGCTTTGCTTGTGAACTGTCAACTGTGAAGGCACTGCTTGTCTTCTTTGCCACTGCAAGTTCTCTAACGAGGAAAATGTTTCCTTCTTATTGGCCAACGACAAGGAAGAAAATCGGGCGGAAAGTTTTCATCATCTTTTAAAAGAAATAAAAAAAAAAAAGTTGAATTTACTCTCTAAGCTTGAGCCTATCATATTTTTCTACAATCACCACCTAAATCTTACACCTATAGAATAAAACCCCTAATTTTCAATTTCACCTCAAACTTTTTGAGTAGTTGTAATTTTATCTTAAAATCGACCTTCGTAGCACTTTGAATTTCTCGACTTAATTGTAATTAAACTCTAGTTTACTAATTGCACCTTAAATGTGAATTTCAATACTCCGAACTTGTCAATTTATTGCAATTGCCCTTTAAAAATAAATTAAGTTTGGAATTTTAATTAAGAAAATAATTTAAAAATGAACTCCATATCCAAGTATTTAAACAATAAATAATAAAATCAAACTCAATTATTCATATAACAAATAAAAAAAATCAAGATTGAGTATTTGATTTTAAAATTGAATGAATTTTGAGAAAAATAATGAATTAAATATTAATTCAAATTAAGGTGTAATTGCAATTAGATTGATAAATTCTGAGTATTTAGAATACAAATGTCAATTTAGAGTGAAATTGCAACTACTCTAAGAATCCGGTGAAATTGAAGGTTAGCGCTGAAATAAATAAATTTTATAAAATTTTATAGAATTTATTTATAAATTTATAAATTTTAAATTTTAAATTTTAAACTTTATGTTTGATATGAATTTTATTTATGTTTTATATATAATTATAGCAATTCTTACTAAAAATGTGAAATTTCAAAATGAATTTCAGAAATTTAAGCAATCTACAATTCTATATAATAAAACTCTATATAATAAAACTATTCCTCCTCGTAGCCTTTAGAAATTATAATATGAAAGACATTTTAAAAATATAAGCAAATGAATTTTAAATTTATCTACTTTCAAATATAAACATAGATCAATTCTATTTGAACCATCATTTATGCCACGGAGTGAACTTAAAATTATCGATTGAATAACCTGTCCAGAAATTATTAAATTAAATGGAATAGGAACCGAACTGTTTTCTTCAGATTTTTTTTGACAGATTATGACAAAAAATTAATAAAAAATTTAATTTCATCCATTCGAAGGCAGCAAATATATAAATAACTACTAAAATTAAAAATACATAATACAATTAAGAATTAAGAAAAAAGTTAAAATTAAGACATATTCTATAGTTAAAGCTTAATCAGATGAACACAACATAATGCAAAAGAAAACAAAAACAGTCTGCAAACTTTACATGTTACTCCAGATAAATCAAATGCCCCAGATAAAACCTAGTATCAAAATTGAAGGAAACTCAAGTTCATCATTTGAATTAACATTTCATAAGAAAAACAAGAGTCTGCCAAATAGAAGCAAAAGGGGAATGATGCTATTAAACCAAAAAAAGCATTATAGATGAAGTTGGTGCTATGAAACATCTCGTACTATACTCAGGTCGTTCCTAGAGTGCAAGATAAAAGGAAAAAAAAGAATACAGATACATGAAATCCTCGGCCTGCCATCTAAGAGCAGCCAAAAAATGCCTCTCCTACCAAAAGAATATTACAACACATATCCACACCTAAATGAAGATTTGAAAATGAAAAATGGCATTATTCAACTACACCGTCATCCCACCAAAACAAACACAAAAAGAAATTTAAAGGCGCCAAAGCCCAGTAAACGCCACCAAATGGAAAAGCCCTTTGTAACCAACTTGGATTCACAGCTAAAATCTACAAAAAGGGTCGCCTTGCATGTATCAATAGCTGCCCATAGGTGGCATTCCAAAAGGAGGCATTGGAGGCATTCCCATTCCACCCATTGGTGGTGGTGCCGCAAAACCTCCGCCCATTGGTGCTGGTCCCCCCATACCTGGCATTGGTGGTGCAGGTAAAGCAAGAGGCAGCAACTGAGCATACATGTTCTGCAACACATCACATAAATCCATTTACACATCAGTAAAGTGCAGCAAACACTGTCAGAAAAGTGTCGGGCTATGACATGCAAGAAAGGTGGGACCCAAAATCCCAACATGCAATAAATCAAGTCCACAAAAAATTACCTGCTGAGCAATTACTTCCTTCTCTTCCTGCTCTTTAGCCTTAACCTCTTTCTGAGCCTCAATTTTGTCCTTCACGAGTTCATCAACTTTGCCTGTATACTCGCGGATGAACTGCAAGCAAGCAAAGAGTAAATCAACCATTTGTAAATAGCATGGCAAATCAGCTGAGCAATATTTGCTCTATCACAGTGGTACATGGAACTAATCAACTGGAAAAAATTACCTGTAATATGTATGGGAAGGCAAAGTCAACCATATTGTTTATCCAGGCAAGTTCAAGAACAACATCTGCCCGGATCAAATCATAGCAAACAAAGAGGCATGATGCAAAACATTCTTTCTTGCCCTGCACAAGAAAATGATACAAAAATTAAACAACAGTAAATAAATTAAAATAAATAAATAAATCACCTCGAATAAGAAAACACTCCAAAAGCCCATTTGGATGGACAAAAAATATGGTGAGAATCGGAATGCAAATAGATGATTCTGATTCCAGTATTTGATTCGGCTAGACATTGGTGAGGAATTGGAATTTGACTCCCCCATGAATGAGAATAATTGTATATGCAGTTTCAGGGAAGGATTAAAACCAGAGAAATTACTATAGGGACCGTATATTATATTCACCTGAGGGGAAAATATAGTGCCTGACTGCCCAAGCATACGAATGCCTTAAAACTAAAAAAGAATGCCAACATCTATCTTGGACAATGCTAAGTTTAGGCTATCATAGGTACCTGTTCAATGAAATAAACAAGCAACTCCTCCGCAAGTTCACGGTCTCCAGATTGTGATGCTGTCTCCATAGCATCTCTGTAAAGGTTGTCTTTCTTTGATAACGCAATGGACTGCTTCCATCTTCCTGCCTTCTTGTAGATGTATGCAGCAACACGCCTCATCTCAAGAAGCTCATGCTTTTCAATCTGCTCACATTGAAAAAGAAAAGGATTATAATCTCAGATTTCATTACGTAGTCCCACTACAAAGAAAGTCAATTAAAGAAAATTACCTTCTGTGCAAGGCCAATCTGATCAAAGTTGTCATGCAAATCAATTGATTCCCGCAATCTGTCATAGTCTTCCTCCTCTACGTAAATCTGGTTCAAAGCTTCATTCACAGCAGATACATTATTGCTCTGAACAGCAACCATATATGGCTTCACCAGAAGAAGGTGACCAGCCTGAAAATCCGGAGAATATTACATCACCATAAAAGAGTTAGACCCTTAAACAAAAAATTATTCAGCAAATTTTAATACTATCATAAGACAGAACAAGTAAAGACCTTCCGCATAATGTCAACAACACGTGTATGGTCCACACGGAGTGCCAGCACATTGAGGAGATCATTAATAAGATCTGGATGCTCCTGCAAGTAGAAATGCACTGCCTTATAGTATAGCTCCACATTGGCGACCTTGACAGCAACATCCTTGAATTGCATGTGATCCCATGCCTCAGGGGAATGGTTCATTATGGTGGTTGCCGCATTATCAAATTCATCATATTGGATATACAAATAGGTAAGTTCCTTCCAATGCTGTTGCTCATCGCAAGCTCGTATAAGCTTGGGAATATTGAGACGGGTTGAGAATAATTTAATGTGCTCCATAAGCTTCTCAGGCCGATATCTTGCATACAATACTCCTAATTCAGTGAAAATGCCCATATGTGCACGTTCCAACCCTAAACCACTCTCCATAAGAGAGATCAATTCATTGAAGTAACCTCTGTTCTGATAATATTCACTGACCTCTTCTAAATCATCCACCTGTATAAAAATTCAAAACACACCACAGGATTGGTGAGTATAATACACATTGCAGGATAGATGTAAAAGTAGCAAGTGAATTTGGCAAAAGCCAGTAAACAAGGCGGGAGTTCTTAAGCTTTAAGAAACTCTATCACCAGAAGTTTGAAAACTAAGCCCCGACTGCTTCTTGATTCAGATATAGAATGACCAACAACTCCATGAGAGAGAGTTTTAGACTTCAATACAGAGTTTCAAAAGCTTCAAGAACCACACACCTACGACCATACAAATAGTAATAGAATGCAATGGATCACCTGAATAATAATGTTGAGACCGCATATCTGAGCCAAACGGAACTCCTCAGCATCAACACAAGCAAAGCAAACTTCCTTCCATGTCTTTGCACTGTTGGCTTTTCGTGCAGCATCAACAGCACCTTGGAACTGTTTCAGCTTCACAAGTGTGCAAGCCAACTTGGCCCAGTTTGATATAAAAGCAAATATTATTTTTGCAGCCTCATATAGAGCTTCGTCAAACAAACGATCACCCACATTTTGGAGATTGGCCACATTTGGCATAAGAATAAATTCTTCAATGTCACTTAGCCTATCTATCTTTGCATATGCAAATATAAGCTCACTGTCCACCTTGGGCTCTTTTGCCTTCTGCCTAACCATCAGGAGGTATCTCACCAAGTCATGATAGACATTTGCATCCCCAGCAGCACGAATGACCTCCAGGAATTGAGTAGCGTCATCCGCACGAATAAATGACTCAATTGCATCACTCACCAATCCCTCCCTGAGTTGAGCCTTTGCCACCTGGCTCCAAACAGCATCTTCTTCAACACGGAATGCAAACTCCACTGCACGGTCAATGCTTCGAATGTTGTCCAGTAACACATTGACAGCCTGGACGTTTAAGTTGAACTTCTTGAAAATTGCAAATGCTTCCTCATATAACTGGGCTTCTACAGCCACTTCCCCAACAGCAGGTCCATCAAAATTATCTAATCTGTTAATATAATCCATTACTCGAGATGGATCTGCCTTGATGGCAGTCAAGATAAGTAGATTCTGCAGATTGAAATTTCCACTGAACGCAGAGTTCTGAAGCACAATCTTTTCAAGCAGCTCAATTAATTCATGCGGAAGATCAGCAGTCATGAAAGCCTTGACAGCAG